CCACACACATCCAGAGACACACAGATGCACAGACCCCCCAGACGCCCCCTCTGCTGTCTGTCTTGCAGGTGTCACCTTCCAGTCCCCTCCTCAAAGCTGAGGAGAGGCAGGATGGGGCCTTCATTGTCCCACCCTGGAAAGACTTCTTTCAAAGATCTATCTCCTGCTTGGTGGCAGTGGCCACAAGCTCGGGGACCTGCAGAAGCAGCAGTTTTTGCTCTCTGAAGGGCAGGTGGCTGCAGCTCCCGACTGACCTGTGGTGTCCCAGGTCTGCGGGGTCTGTCTGTGGCCAACTGCCCGCCTTACCTTCACACAGAACTGACAGCTCCCCACTACTGGCTTCTTTTTGTGATTCGGGTTTTTGAATGTCAGTTTGAGACATGGTCTCTCTGTGTAGTCCAGGCTGGTCTTGAACTCCTAGTGATCATTCTGCCCTGGCCTCCTGAGCGCTGGGATGAACGGTGTGTGCATGCGCTGGGCTCTGTGGTGCCCTGTCACGTGCACAGGGACAAACCAGTCACAGGACTGGGAATGAGGCGGAAGGGCTGCCTGCAGAGGGAGCTAGTGGGTTTCCTTTTCATTTTAATTACAAAGTGTGTGTTCCCCGCATGCATGTGTGGTACCAGGAATTGAACCCTGGGTTTCACATCCCCCAACTTTTCAACACAGTGTCTTCCCGTCACTAAGTTGCCCAGGCTGGGCTTGAATTTGTGATCCTCCTGCCTCAGCTGCCCAGAGTGCTAGCATTACAGGCCTGCACCAGCATACTTCTTTAATGTCTCAACTTTTTTTTTTGGTACCGGGGATCGAACTTGTGTCCTTGTGCTTGTGAGACAGGCGGTGGAACCACCTGAGAGATGGCCATTTCCATGTTGAGGAGAAAGATATTAGGAGAGACCACACTGCCAATAGCTTGACATCAGAGTCTCTGAAAGTGAAAAAAAGGTCCCTTGGTTCCTTAACGCTTTTGGCTGTGATCAATTTGGTCCACAAACAGAAGTGTCTGCAAAATTTTTTGTTTGCAAACTCTGCATCATGTGACAAACATGACTGTGGCCATGTTTTTCACACAAACATGAACACGGCTGTCTTTTCCAGAATCGTGGAATGAATTGCATTTGTGCACTGAGGTACTACTGTACTTCATTAATTTTCTTCAAGAGTTTTTTTTCTTTTTTTGTTTTGAGACAGGGTCCCACTATGTAGTTGAGACTGACCTGGAACTCACTACATGGCCCAGGGTTTTGAACTCACAGAGATCCTCCTGCCTCAGCCTCCCGAGTGCTGGGATTACAGATGTGTGCCACCACACCTGGCGAGAAATTTTCTTCTTCAACTTTTGGTCATCTTTTTCCAGTGAATTTATCTAGGCCTAGAGCTTTCTTTCTGAGAAAGTTAACTACAAATTCAATTTCTTTAGATATAGGAGATTCAGGTTGTTTTTTTCTTAAGTGAGCCTTGATAGTTCATGACTTCAAGAATTCTATCCATTCAGGTAAGTTGGAGAATTATTCTGCCAAAAGATTGTTCATAATATTCCTTATAATCCATTTAATGTATGTAGTGTCTGCAGTTACGTCTTTTCATTCCTCAGACTCGTCTTTTTTGGCTTGTCTTTGCCTTCGGTCGGTCTGGATAGAGGCTTATGAATTTGACTGATTTATGCTCTAACCTTCATCATTTTGTGTCTTCTAGTTTATTAAGAAGGAAGCTAATATAACTTCTTTCAGTGCTAACATCCCTTTCTGTTTTAGATGTGACCCACAAATTAAGACAAGCTTTGCTTTCATCCAGCTCATGACTGACTGGGGATTGAACCCAGGGCCTTTACTCTGAGCTACATCTCCAGCCCTTCTAAAATATTTTTGAGACAGGGCCTTTGTCACTGAGCTTGGCCTGAACTCTCGGTTTTCCTGCCTCTGCTTCCCAGGAGTCTTACAGGTGTCTGCTATCATGCCTGGCTCTAAATCGACTCCTCGTTGCCCACTGAGCAATGACAGAACTAGACCCTGTGGAGAGCACTTCCCTTTGCCAGCTGGCAAGATGCTACCTCCCTGTGTCGGGGGCTGCACTGAGGAGAGTGCTCTCTTCCTGTTCCGGTGAGCTCCCTTCGGCAGAGCTCCAAAGTGGTGCCTCTCCAGCACAGCCTCCAAGCGGGACCGGGTCAGCACCTCTCCTTGAACAGCTTCTCTGGCACCCCCTGCAGTGGTCAGCCAGCCGATTCTGAGGCAGGTCACCCATGGAGGATCGCTGAGCACTGTGCCTGTCTCAGCACTGTCTGCCCAGTGGTGCCGTGGCGGCTCGTGAAATCTCAGGCAACCCAGTCTGGGGGTTCTTTCAGATTCTCCTGCCTCAGCCCTTGGGTTGGTGACTGCTCCCTCTGGAGTTCTTTTCATTACTTGGTAGTAAATCCTCCATCGTCCCAATTTTGTGTTATGGTGACTGTTGATCTTATGAGTCAACTTGATTGGGCCAGGACACCCAGATATTTGGTCAAACATTATTCTGAATAGTATGCTGTTTTGGGGGAATGAGATTAACATTTAAATTAGATTTACTGTGAGCAAAGCAGATCATTCTTTAGGATGGGTATGAGCCTTGGTCAATCAGGTGAAGGCCTTGATACAATCCCAAGAACGAGATTTCTGTGGGGTGCTAAGGTTCAATTTCTTCCCATCTGGATAACAAGGTGACCAACGTTTTTATTTTAACCAAATAATGGTTTTGATCTCTGCTTTTTAAGTCATCTGCCCTGTGAAACACTTAGTAAAAATTCTCCAATAATACAACAAAGCAAAGTATCAACCCCACAATTTTATTTGTAAAGAACAAAGCATGAAAAGTCATATTTAAATGTACTCCAAAACCTGAAAAACCCACATCGGTTTGTCTGATATGTTAAAGTGCTTAATATCACAATACTCTTTAAATTGTAATATGCTCAGATGAGGAAAAAAATCCAGTTCTGATACATTTTAACAAGACAATGGAAAAATATAATTTAAATGCAGAAATACTAATTAAAAAAGACAGGGTACATTTGTACATGGTTCAAGTGTAACACAGAAGACTCTTTCCGCTTCACACTCTCATGTGACTGACAACAGAACTCCCTACTGCACTTCTGCACTGTCAACAAGATGTGACGTGCAGAACGGAGGCAGGGTCCAATGCATAAGCACACTCCATTACCTGGACTAAGCGTTGTTCCCTCCTAACAACCTGAGGACATACTGGATCGCTTCAAGCAGGAGAAACTTTACTTGATGAGTTGTTTTCATGCTGGTGTTAATATCTCAGCGTTATGGGTGTTTGGTGGTGCTGCGGATTGAACTGGGGCCTTGTGCATGCTAAGCATACGCCCTACAACTGTGCCACAGCCCCAGCTCTCCCTCAATTCCTTCCATTACAATGCAAGAGCAACCTCTTTAAGAAGCTTGGGATTCAGTTTATCAGATTTCTAAGTGCATCAGAACGGGAATAAGGGACCCAGTAGTTTGCTACCCTTTTTGTTGCGTACGTATGCTGAATGACAGTGGTACATACTTACATGAGAGACAGGCAGCTGACTAGGGATAGGATTCACTTCAAGGACTTAGAGAAGAGCTCCAGACCCATTCCCACTCGGTGAGGGTGTGTTAATACTGAGATATAAACACTACAGACCTGATTGTCCCTTCAACACGGTGAAAGGATAGGCTAGTATCTGTAAACCTCACAGGAAATACTCACAGTTTTCTAAATGAAAAAATCCACTGCAAAGTCATAATTCCTAGCAGAAGCAGGTATTTCATTATGAAGAGCTATATTCTCAATGCTGTCAAATAAATACATCCCTGGGGATCTGAGGCCCTTCTCTACAGCCTCATGTTTCAAAATATCCTAGGGTGTCAAAATATACTACACATAGGCTACTATGCAGTCTTAGCCTTTCTTCTACTTACAGTTACATACAACAGTGCTTTATTGCCAAAAAAGGAAATATGAGCAATTCAGTATTTCCCCTACATCATTCACATTGTGACAGAAATTCATTAAAATGATTTTTAAAAAGCCATGTTAAAAGAACCACCAACAGGGCTACAAAAAGTATAAAAATGTGTGAAATATTTAAAATAAAATTTAGAGGGAAATCCAAGCCTTTGCACATTTTGACTTCTTGTGTCAAACTCTCGTTACTGGGGCGGAGGCTGGCTTTGCCCTGGGAACCCACTCCTGCCACTCAGAGCTGCTATCACATCACAGAGCCCAGGTGTCCTATTTAGGTGTGGATCCCAGACACCAGGGGTCACAGGGTACCCAAATCAGGTAACACCATCACGTCAGACAGGGTGGGAATGCAGGTTTTAGAACATATGAAAAACACATAGAATGAATTTTTTAGGAGGTAAGTTTTTGGCCATATTTTTATTTATTTATTTTGGTACTGGGGATTGAACTCAGGTCCTTGTGCTTGCAAGGCAGGCCACCGAACCACTGAGCTAAATCCCCGGCCCTAAGGCCATGTATTTATTTATAGTAATACCTCCGCTGTCCAGGAACACTTCTGTTTGCAGACAAAAGTATTTGGCAAAATTTTGCTTGTTTCCAAACTCTGCACTGGGTGACAATATGACCATGTCAATCTTCCCCAAAATTGTAAAAAATTAAGTCTGTAATCCGAGGCACCACTATATGTACTTTTGCAGGGGTGCAACACAGGACATGCTAGGCAAGTGCTGTCACTGAGCTACACCCTCAGCCCAGCAATTCATTTAAAACAATTTTTCCTCAAGCTATTATGATGTGAGAATACTATTTATGGTCCCAGGCATTAACTTTTAATTTATTTGGAAGTGGGAGGACAGACAAAGACAGCATTGGCTATTTACTTTGAGGTGTGATTCTACAGCAATATACTGATTTTAAAAATTAACGTAGCAGAGAGGATAGCTCTAAATGCATATGGTCCATCAAAGTCAGCTGAGTGGTGATGGACATTTATTTAAGCATTCTGTTACTTGCTTGCTCAAAATATTTTGGTATTGGCTCAGAGACAGTTATAAGCCACAGGAAAACTAAATTATAATTATAGTGACCCCAAAACCAGTTACAGCATTCTTTTTTATTTTTGTACTGGGGATCGAACTTGGGTTCTTGTGCTTGTGAGGCAGGTGGCAGAACCACTGAGCTAAATCCCCAGCCCTACAGCGTTCTTTTTATGCATCTAATTTGGATCTTAAGGACATTATCCTATTTTCAGTATTAAATTTATTCTGAAGGCTGATTTACTACCACGGGAATTATCCAAAAGAATAAGCTGTTACCCATGGGCCCCCCCATGCAACTCTGTTCCCAGTTTTTACAACAGATGAAATTTCTAATGAATTATTTAGTCCTTATAAATGAATATTAAGGGAATATTATTTTCTGTGTATAGAGGTGGATCAATACAAATCCCAAGGCAACAAGACTGACTCTGTGAATGCCTTGCAGCTTGGTGCCATGCAGCCAGCCTGGTGTAACAAGCACCAGGGCCAGTGGGGGCAGGGCAGCCCTCGGCACTGCGTTTCCATCCGTACAGGGGAAGGTGGGCAGATGACTCAGCTCTAGCCTTGAGTGCCAGAGGCGTGGCCGCGAGGGAAGTCATGGCAAGGGTGACCCCGCACGGGACCACCTATGGTTTATCACTGTTGCTCAGTCTGCTTCTGAACTCTGATCCTCCTGCCTTACCCTAATAGCCCGGATGGTGACCACCAAATACAGCCCGAGGGAAGCAGCCTCTGGATGCCTCTTCTGTCCCTAGGGCAGCTGCACCTGCTAGGGCAGCTGGATGGCAGGCACATAACCTCACCAAGCCACATTCTGGGCTCCTCCCCAGGTCTACACAGCTCAGCGCTCCACAGCCCTCTCCTCCCAGCACCAGAAGTTGCCCATCCCAGGGCCTGCGGTGTGGGCACTTGTTTAATCACTCCCTTCCTCCAGGAAAAGAGGGAAACAACACTGCTGCTGGAGCCCAGGACCTTCCTGTCACAAAGGGTCCTGCAAGGCCCTGGCTCTGCTTTTCAGCCACAAGGGGAATAAAAGCTGAGCTCTGCTGAGGCAATTCTTCTAAGGCTGTACCAGTGCCTCATTAGTTCCAGGACCTGCCTGAAGACGTTAAGGGAACCAGCTAATACTACATTTACTTAGCTGCTGCTGCTGCTGCTTCTCTTTTTTTTTTACTTAGCTTCTTAATAAACTACCAAACTGTCTTGCACGTGGAGCAGGTCTGCATTTCAACAGTCTAGGAGACTGAGGCAGGAAGATGACAAGTTTGAGCCCAGTCTTGGCAATTTAGTGAGACTCTCCGAACAAACAAACAAACAAACAAACGAAAAAAACCAAACCAAAATCAAGACCAAAGCAAACTGTCAAACTGGGAAGTTACCTACGAACCTTGGTCTTTTAAACCTGCTGCCTCCTGGTTCGCTTCCATTCAGGCAGTCTGTGCTGCAGTGGCCTTCACGTCTCGGGCAGGTTGTCTCACTTGTTTCCCCTTCTCACAGAGGGACACAAAGCTTGCCCTGAGACGCCCAGAAGCGGTCATTCTTACCCTCTCTGTTATGTGCATTGTCATGGTCAACAAATACGTTCACAAAAACATTCCAGGCCTCCAGGCCGCGCTGAGCCAACTCCACTTCCTCCTCCAGGTTTCTTGCTTTCCACAGGGGGATGGCAGGTCCAGGGGTTCCTGTGACCCTCAGGGTACAGGCTCTGCAGAGAGCAGTTGCCAGGCGAAGACACCAAAAGCCAGAAGTGAGCTGCTAACACCCTGAAAATACCCCAGTCCCTCCAGTAACAGAAGAAAAAAATGCCAAGAATGGAGGAGTCTATCTTTTTGTGTTCTCCTTCCATGCAGCCAAACTCCTTGGGTCTGGTATTTAAAATACTTTCTGTCTTTACTTTGTGCAGAAAAATGTTGCAAAGACTGGAAGAATGACTCCTAACTGAAAGGTATCAAATGGTTATGACTTACGCTAAGGTGAGGACAGCTACACAGCCGGTAGACTGGTCACCCCGAGGCTGCGCCAGGAGGAGGCCACTGTGACCCTGGGGACAGCCGCCCAGCACCTACATGAACAGGGTTACTGGCTTCTTCCTGACTAGCACCACTCCCCCCACCCCCAACATTTTCAAACTATGGATTTTAAGTCACAGGAATATTCAGTCTAAGAAAAGTATCTTATTAGGGTAATATAATTTTTTACAGAAGATAGTATATTTACACACATCTAACACATGAAAATACTCTATTTTATACTAAATTCCAGGTTTAAATGAACTACAGTAGGGCATCTCCCTGTCTGCAAATGAGGACCTTCCCGTTGGGCCCACAGGGCTGCCCAGACGAAACCATCGGTGGCCCGCAGCACGCAGGCCGCCCAGCCCTCCTCACACATCCACGCCTTTGATGAGCGAGCCCTCTAGGACAATGCTGAAGTCCTGGATGGTCTGCAGGACCCGGATGAGCGAGTTGACAGTCATGCGGTCTCGCAGCAGTGCGCTCTCCTCATACATTCGCGTGACGGCAGGGCACTCAGCCAGCAGCGGGATCCACTGTGGGAGCAGGTGGTCCCTGCAGAGCAAACAGAGCCAGTCTGAGCACACATGCAGCTGCGCTCCCTGGGCAGGTGTGGCGGCCATGCATATCCAGTGTGGGTGGAAACTGGAGACAAGACATGGTTGGTAGTAGTAAAGAGAGATTGCTGAGGGTGGTAGGCTAACAGCACACCCCACAGACTCTGAGAGTGTATCAGAGAGGCTGGGACCTAAATAAGCGCTCTAGAAGGTGGGCACAGCTCAGCCGCAGGGCGCTTGCTTATTAGTATGCCTGAAGCCCTGGCATGGGCTCTCCAATCATGGAAAGAAAAGAAAAAGAAAATTGTGATTTTACCACCTTTACAAAAGGTAGAAGCCAGGTGTGGTGGTACACACCCAGTGCTCTGGAAGGCTGAGGCAGGAGGACTGCAAATTAGTGAGGCCCTGTGTCAAAATAAAAAAGGGCTGAAAGGGCCGGGGGCTTACCTCAGTGGTGCTGCAACTGCCTTGCAAGCACAAGGTCTTCAGTTATATCGCTGGTACCAAAAAAAAGGCTAAAGATGTAACCCTTTGTGGGGTGGGGTATGGAGGGCTGGGACAGGGCTCAGCAATGAGTTTGTGAATGTCAGGGTTTGATCTCCAGCAACACTAATGCAGTGGTGCCTCAATTCATGAACTTCATTTATTCCACAATTTTGGAAAAGACGGCTGCATGAGTGTTTTGGTGGGAAGGGTGGCCACGGTCACACTGGTCACGTGATGCAGAGTTCATGCACGGAAGCAAAATTCTGCTGAATGCTTCTATTTGCAAACCAAATTGTTTGCAAACAGATGTGTTCATGAACTGAAGTACCATTATAATAAATAAAAACAAAGGGGTAGGAAATAGTCTGGAAGATGGCATTTGTATAAGAGTCCCGTCATATTATTAAATCTAAAGTGATACAGCAGTGAGTATCCACTGCACAAGGTCTCCACGGTACAGCACATGTGCACACTCAGCTCTACCCAGGATTCACCTAACCTTTGGAAGCAGCAGGCTCTCCGGGGGGATGGGAGTAGACCCTGGCTTTCCCTTTGTCACTGTGCCTTGGGAGAGCCTGCTAACCTAGCGACGCCTCGTCTATAGTCTGTTTGCCCAGGCTGGGCTAAAACCTGCAGTTCTTTGACCTCTGGCTCTCAGGGCTGGGATCACAAGCGTGCGCCCTGCGGCTGAGCTGTGGCCACGTTCTAGAGCGCTTATTTAGGTCCTGGTCTCTGTCATACACTCTCAGAGTCTGTGGGGTGTACTGCTAGCCTAGCACTCTCTGTGCTCTTTGCCAGGACACGGGATGCTGTATGTAGTGGTAGTCATGAAGTGACAGGCGGATGCCAGAACTCAGGAGCTTTGTAATGAAAGTTGGAATGAAAGGAAGACAAGGGCAAGCTTTGTTGTAATCTTTTCCGACTCCTGCTTAACAGGTATCAAAGGAGGACAGTGAAAGGTTGGCTTTATACCGTGTTCCAAGGCAAACTAAAATCTGGAATTTGCCATCCTTCCCAATATTCCTGGGTGCTGTATTGATAGCGTTCACGTAGTGGCAGAAGGTTTTGTAGGACGACTTCTGAATAAGGACTTCATCTTCGCTGTCTAGAATCTGGTCGGTGGTTTCAAAATAAGCAACTACCTTCTCTGGAGGAGGAAAACAGAATCACATCACAACATGTGCCAGTACTTCCTTCACAAGAAGCCCCAGCACCTAGTTTATTCTGCAAACACTAGTGAGCTCTCAGGGCAGCCAGTCCTGACATCAAACCCACAACCCCATCACTGATTCAGAGTGAGTTCTCGGGTCCACGGTCCTTGCTGAACAAGGCTGGAAGGTTTACTGCTGTTTTTTTTTTTTTTTTTTTTTTTTTTTTTTTTTTTTTTTTGGTGTTGTTACTGGGGACTCAACCGAGGATTTTCACACTGAGCTACATGCACAGCCCACAGCACCTCCCCGCTTCTAAACCTGGAGACAGAGTCTCACTAAGTCACTAAGCTGTCCAGCCTGGGCTAAAACTTGCAATCCTCCTGCATCAGCCTCCCAGAGTGGTGGGATTACAGGTGTGCACAACCACATCCGGCTTCTGGGTACCACACAAATTACATATTTGTTAAGATTTTGTGTACTACTGGTTCTTCCACCATAGAGTATAAGTCTGCCAAATGTAAGTGTTTCTGCTGCATCTAAAGTAGTGTCTGGAATGCTGTACGTAAACATTTGTTAAACGTGTGCCAAACAAATTGTGATTTGATGTTTATTTTTAAAGTCTCCCCCTCATCACTAGCCTGTTTTATTCAGGTTCCCGGGCCCTGTGTTCTCTGGGAAGCACTTCAAGGGCCAGGTGGTGGCACACATCTGCCCAACTCACCCACGAAGTCCCAAATGAAGACGTTTTTATGAAAGATGCGGGCTGACTTGAAGCCATGGTGGAAAACTTGCTCGAGGGCTGCAACCAGGCCGTTTTCTCCGCAGAGCAACAGGGTAAGGCTCCCCCTCTGTGAAGTGTAACACACTGTGCAGATGGAAGGCTGTGGCTTTCTCACTAAGGCACGCCCTAGAGCGACCCCACCCTGGGCACCCGGGAGCAGCTCTGCAGGGCCTGGAGTCTGCCGGGAGGTCCTCAGCTCTATAGCCCCACGTACCTCTTTCTCAGGTTTGTGAAAATGCTTCACGATGTTGTTCACGGCTTCTCCAATGCCCTCCTGGATCTGCCCAGCATTAGGCCCTGCAAAGCAAGGATCAGTGGCTGTGCTGCCCCATGGAAAACACCTTGCCTGGGAGGTGCCAGCCATGTCTCAGAGGAGCCCCTCCCAGGGCAGGCTGGCTCTCGGGACATAGCCAGAGCCTGGAAGCTGTAAACAGGGAAGGGAAAGTGGGCAAGAGTGAGGGCTGGGGATTTAGCTCAGTGGTTCTGCCGCCTGCCTTGCAAGCACAAACACCTAAGTTCAATCCCAGGTACCGAAAAAAAAAAAAACAACAACAACAACAAAAAAAGTGGGTGTTGTCACAGCATCAGAGCGAAGACACCCCCGCCCTCCCGGCCCTGAATGGGGGGCAGAGGCCAAGGCTGGAGGCTGGTGAGCCAGCCTGGAGGGTGCTGCTTTCCAGGGGGGGAGGCCAGAAAGAGCCCTTGGCTCCTTCCTCCCAGCCAGCCCTGCTGGTGCCCACTTCTACTCGCTCATCGAGGCTGCACCAAGAATGGCTAAAAAACATGAAGTGGTACAGACTCCATTCAGGGTTACAAGTGCACAAAAAGAGTAACAGTACTGGGGGTTCACACACGGTAGGTAAACTCTCTAGTACTGAGTTACAGGCACTAGCCCTTTAAAAACTTTTATTTTGAAAAAGCATCGAACTAAATTGCCCAGGCTGGCCTCGAACTTTGAGTCCTCCTGCCTGAGCTTTGTGAGTAGCTGGGATCACAGGCATGCGCCTCCACATCCAGCTACAATGATGTATTTTGGTGTTTTCTGGTAGTGGTAAACTATTACATCCAATTTACTTACCAGAGCATAAAGCAAAAAAGTATACATGGTACTGTTTGGGAATCTCTGAATTCACCTCCTGGAGGATTTCTCTGATATACGTTTGCTTAGGTAAAGTGGAAGTAAATTATTTCTAAAGATTGTTAAAATGCAAATCTCGAATGACTGAAAAAAGAAATTTATTTTTGTTTTTTTTGAGACAGGGTCTCACTATGTAGTTGAGACTGACCTGGAACTCACCATGTAGCCCAGGCTGGTCTCAAACTCACAGCAATCCTTCTGCCTCAGCCTCCCAAGTGCTGGGATTACAGGCGTGCGCCACCACGCCCGGCAAATTACTGAATATTGATACTATGGCACCTTCGGCACCTAGTAGGTTCTTTACCTAGCAGTTTTGTCTTTCTCTTCTCTTTTCAACATAAGTTTATTTTGAAAACTTTGACAGATATTACTCATTTAAAGACCTACCCGTTCAATGACTATTCAGACTGATGACTTGCATTTGGGCTCACAACACAGGAATGTAAGCAGCACTGTGACTTTCTGGTGGCTTCTTCCACAGCACAGTACTGTCCTTTCTGCTGACCTCACTGCACAGTACAGTACCGTAGTCTATGTCCTGGTATACGTTACAGCACTGCATGTAGGAGTGATGCAAACAAGAGCCAGGTCATCACGTTGGAGTTTCCTTTGACATTTCTTTGTTCTGAATATTGTATATCCCTAGCGACCAATTTTCTGAATGACCTGGTCCCGGAAATGAACTCAGTTGCTAAATGAGGAATGTCTTTATTTGTTCCCAAAACTCTTCCAATTATCTCCCAGAACGCCCAGTTATGCGTCTCTGAGTCTTGGGTTAAAATTGGCTGCTTGTTGAGCAAAGAAAGAAAATACTATAAAAAATGAGAGGATAACGGTCTCTCAACAACAGGCCTAGTTCCCTGAAACTGGACTTAGAATATGCAATAATCTGAATGGCTAGTGGTGGTCTAATTTTAATGAATTAAAAACAAACTTTGGGGCTGTGGGATCAAACCTAAGGTTCTGTGCATGATACAACGTGATCTACCACTGAGCTACAGATACTTCCTCCTCATGCCCCCTTTAAAAACTTCCCTCCCCCACTCCCTTCCTAACTAGGGCCTGAACCCAGGACCTTCATACTAAGCTACATCCCTAGATCTTTTTGTATTTTGAGACAGGGTCTCGCTGTGTCACCAAGTTACCCTGGCCGAGCTTGAACTTGCCATCCTCCTGCCTCAGCCTCCCCAGTAACTGGGATCACAGGCGTGTGCCATCATGCCTGGCATTCTTCTGTTTCCATCTCCTCACTATATTCACAAACACAGTCGTGTTCTGTGAACTGACCACAGGAAACCTGAAATGTGTGAGCCACACTGGGAAACAGGAAAAGCAGCTACTCACTGGCAGTCTTGCCAGTCAGTGAGGTGATGCTCAGCCTCCGGGCTGTGGTGGGTGACTTCTGCTGGGGCGGGGTCCGACACTGCTTCCCGAGGTCCTCCTCCGCTGCCGGTGCCATCAGCTCCCCGATGAGAATCCTCTCCAGGCTCCCATCATCCACGCCTTTCCCCAGCCAGCGCCCACATGGGAACCTGCCGGGACGACAGGAAACGCCTCCATCACAGTTACTCTGCACTGGCTTTAGTCAGTGGGTTAGAAGAAATGACACACACACACACACACACCCCAAACAAAAAAGAAACGCCAACCCTTCACTTTCACTCCTGTGAACTGTCTAACTATAAACACTTCAAAAAATGTAGAAAAACAGAGTATAATGTATCAGACCCCCACATTTTTATCTGCCACATGTTTCGCTTTTGTTGTAGCTGAAGTATTTTACAGCCAACACTTCAGTATGAATGTCTAAGTGGGGGCCAGAGCCACACGCTGCTATCACCCTTCAAATGAAAGTAATTCCTTTTTTTTTTTGGTACCAAGGACCAAACTCAGGTCCTTGAGCTTGAGAGGCAGGTGGCAGAACCATTGAACTAAATCCCTAGCCCTAAAGTAATTCTTTAATATTCTGTCCTTTGTTTTTCTCTTGTGTTACTGGGGACCCAATTTTTTTTAATACTTAAAAGTGTATTATTAAAACTCTGGATAGTTTTAGAAAGAACATTTTCATAGTAGAAATTAAGGTGGGAGTTAAGGCATAGAAGAGAGGAGCTTGTCCCTTTAGGGCAGAGTTCAGTGTAACCAATACAATCCATCTTTTTTTACTCTTAGCAAAAGTAACTGAAGTTGGGTGCCATGGGGTGTGCCTGTAATCCCAGCACTCTGAGAGGCTGAGGCAAAAGAGCTGCAAATTTGAACCCAGCATGGGCAACTTAGATCCTGCCTCAAAATAAAAATATTTAAAAAGGCCAGGGATGAAACTCAGTGTGAAGGCCTTGGGTTCAATTCTTGGCAGCATAAAAGGAATAGTTTAAGCTTCCTTTAATGTCCCGTACTTACAGCCATCTTTTTGAACACTTGTGGACCGAGCATTGGCAGCAAATATATTTTGATTTTTTTTTTTTTTGGTGGTACTGGGGATTGAATCCAGGGCTTTCTAAACCCCAAGCAACATCACAGTCTTTTTTAAATCTTAAGACAGGGTCTTGCTAAGTTTCCAAGTTGTCCAGGCTGGGTTTGAACTCTTAATCATCCTGTTTCAGCCCCTTATTAGTGCTGAGATTACAGGCATGTATTAGCATGCCTGGCTTTTTCTATTTTTAACAGTATTTTTGGAGGGTTTTTTACATTATATAAACAAAAAAAAAAAAATCCAAACAAACTAAATTCAGAAGCCAGTGGAAAAATTTTAGAAAGAAATCCTTATCAAAGAACTCTGGGCTCCCAAGGCCACCTACTCACCTGTATGTGTGTCCCGTGATCTCATTTCTGACCATGACGCAGTCCACTAGCCACTTGGTTAGCAGCCCTGAGTTGTCGTGACCGATCTGGACAGTGGTGAGCTTCCCCAGGTTCTGGCACTGTGGGCAGGAGTACAGGTCACTCAGCACTGAACACACCCGCCTTCCAGCTTTCTTGGGCACTTCTTCCCTTCCCCTGTAGCTACAGAGATGCGCTGAGCCACACACTAGGGAAATAGTTCCTGGCTTTCGGGGAGCCCTCAAACAAGGGGACAGGAGACTGACAACATGGATTGCAAACAGAAGGGCTGGGCTGAAAGGTGAGTAAGGGCTAGAGGATAGCCAGGGAAGGACAGGGAAAGGTGTGTAGGCACCCAGAGCCCTCGCCAAGACGGTGGCTTTGTGAGCCTTGAAGGGTGGGAAGGATGTCCAAAAGCGCAAGAGGGCACTGTTTAGACAGACTTACAAAGAGGACAGCAAAACCCTAACACTAACTGAGAAATCACCAATGTAGCCCAGCCTGGTGATGCATGCCTGTACTTTCAGGGATCAGGGGCAGAGGCAGGAGGATCGCTGTGTGTTCAAGGCCAGCCAGGGCTACATCGTGAGTTTAAGGCCAGGATGAACTGTACAGCAATACCCTGGCCCCCCATCACCAACATTCAAGTATTTCTTTTTTTGAGTACTGGGGAATCAAACTCAGGATTTTGCACTTTCCAGGTACATGCAGCGCCACTGAGCTACATCCCTGTCCTTAGTTTTTCTATTTTTAAAAAATTTAATATGTGTACATAACACATCTTAATTCTTTTGACTTTCCCTACTTCCCTTTCCCCTTTCTCTAACTCTTGATCTCCTTTCTACTGCAAAAAAAATCCTATTATCTTTCATTTTGCTCTTTCAATTATTTATACTTTGGGTTTTTCATGTAAGAGAATATGATATTTAAGCTTGTGTGTCTGATTTATTTCACTTAACACTATCGTCTCCAGTGCGCCCACTTTCATAAAAATGAGTCATATGGCCAGGGATTTAGCTCAGTGGTTCCACCGCCTGCCTTGCAAGCTCAAGGGCCGGAGTTTGATCCCTGGTAAAAAAAAAAAAAAAAGAAGTCAGATTTTTCCTTCCTTCCTTCTGTACTGGGGTATCAAACTCAGGCCCTTACACTTGGCAAGGCAGGCGCTGGAACCACTGAGCCAAATCCGCAGCGCAAATTTGTTTTTATTTATGGCAGAGCAGTGTTCTGTTGTGCATACATTTTCTTTATCCTACGTTTTTCTATTTTTGTTTGTTTTTTTGGTACTGGGGATTGAACTTGAGACTTTGTATTCATGAGGCAGGTGGCAGAACCACTGAGCTAAATTCCCGGTCCATTTTTCTAGTTTTAGTAAGGGGTTGGGGACCCAGCTCAGTGGTAGAGCACCTGCCCAGCATGTGCAAGACCTTGGGTTTGAACCCCAGTAGAATGAAAAGAACAAACAAAAACCAACACCCCCCAAATTTCATTTAACTTGTTTGAACTGTGCTCAACTGCAGCTAATTGAAACTGCATAAAGTGAAGTACAAATGAAGGGCGACTGCTGTAATTACTGATGTCCTACTAGCCCCGTGTGGACAAGTACGAAATTAAAGGAACTTCAAACACGAATCCCAGTAACACTGACTTAGAATCTGATGAAGAAGAGCCCGTACCCCTACCTGACTGTGTTGGATGGAAGCCCCAGGAGCTGTGAGTTCTAAAAGCATCTAACTTCCTGATGCTTGGCTGTGTTGTTTTGTTTCAGTATTAGAGATTGAACTCAGGGTCTCTGCACCCAGCTACATCTCCAACCCTTTCTGAGACAGAGCCTTGATAAGTCACTAAGTTGTTGGGGCCAGGCATGGCCCTCCTGCCTCAGCCTCCCTAATACCGGGACTATAGCAGCAGGTGCCATGTGCATTGCAACTGTGGCTTCTTCACAACACACCATGGCGACCCAGATGAAAGAAGATTGCAGCCTGATTTACTAAGGCAGCAGAGATGGAATGAAACAGGCTCTTGTGTGAGGGTTTGGGAAATTCTTCCCGTATGCCAGGAGCAAACTCAATATGGGCTCAAAAATATGAAAATAATATACCAAGTAAGAGCCGGAGTCCAACGGTCGTGACACAACAGTCCTCTTTAAGATGTCTCTGTGAACGTTACCGACTGGTGCAAGGTGTGATAAGCACTACACCGGGTCTCTGGTCCTGTGCCAAAGGCCACACAGTCAGAGGCAGGGAAGAGAACCGCTATGGGAGACAGGCATTCTCTGCACCCCACCGGCCAGGCACCGGCATGGACCACAGCAGACCACACCCAGGTCAGCAGGGAAACTGAGCAGTGACTGTGAACTGCCACAATGTGCGACACATAAGCATAAGCTGCCGTAGACGACAAGATGCACACACTCAAAACACGGCCCTGCACTGGACAGAACGGGAACGAGAAGGCCAAAGTGGACTCTGAGAATTCAGCGATGTCTCTGCTAGGACCCTGGGGCACTCACCTCGAAAGCCATCTCGAGGAGGTTCTTGGGGATTTGCATCACCCCTGTGTCTCCCAGCTCTCCTGATACACAAATCCAAGGGTTTGAGGTGATGATTGCATTGCTCAGCTTTTTAATTGGGATGATCACTGACCTGTATGGGATCACTGAGAGAAAAATGTGGAAATTAATGAAAAGTTACAATAAAACTCCCCTGGCCTTGTACTTTCAATCCTCCTGCCTCTGCCTCCTGAGTGTTGGGATTATAGATGTGCACCAGAATGACCAGCATGATCTACCTATCTTTTAAGATGTATTCACATTGTACAAAGAAATGAGATCGTAGCCTCTTCCGGTCTGGAAAGACGAGGTTGGGTTCTAAACTGTAAGTTTCCACCCATGGTGGGTCCCATGACTATCCACTATTGCACGTGTATGGTGAATCTATCACCATAGTGACATACACTACCGCTTACTACTTAGCAACAGCCTCCAACACAGCAAGAGAATTCCTGAAGATAGGAACACAGGAATATGCAATGTTGTCATTGCTTTTTTGGGGGTGGACCTGGGCCCTGAACCCATGCCAAGCCTATACTAGGCAAGCCACATTCCCAGACCTCCCCCCCGCCCTGACCTGGGGCTCAAACCCAGGGCATTCTACCATTAAACTACATTCTTACCCCTGCCTTTTAAATTTTGAAACAGAGTCTCTAATTTGTCCAGTCTGGCCTCAAATTTGTGATCCTCCTGCCTTGGCCTCTGATAGTGCTGGGATTAGAGGAGTGTACCACCATGACTGGCTCCTTGTTTATGTTTTAAAATTAATTTTAAAGCAAAGCTGAGTATGAATGAACACGACTACTGATTTGGTTTCATATGAAAACAGGGGTAGATGACTTCTTGGTTAAACTCCACTGTTGATTTTCTTGAGGCTTGCTTTTAAAGCACTCACTTTAGAACTTTCCCTTCCCACATTCATAGCCCAGTATGAAACACCAAGAATAACAAAGGCACCTCCATTCTGGATCCACCATAAAGACTAAGCTATAGCCTGGGAAGCCACCAAGGTTCAGCCTGTGCAGGGAGCCCTGGGGACTGCAGAGGCCAGATGTCTGGGGAAGCCTTTCCCTTGCAAGGCGTTTCCAAAGGCCACCACTAGATGGTACTGTTCCACTGCAGCCCTCTGCCCAGGCGACCTACAGGTCTCCTTGGCCTCTCTAAAATAGGGGACTCAAATACATGAGCATATTTTTGTTCACCAGACTCCCAGGCCCTCACACCCTGCACACCCTGACCACCCTGCCTCAGGTGGGGCTCCAATTGCAATCTTCCTGCCTCAGCCTCCAAAGTCCTGAGATGACACGGATTATACCCAGGTTACGCTGTTTAAAAAATAAGGTAGAATATTTTTTGTTCATGTCCTTGGGATTTCTAATCACTGGGCTGCAAGACAGGAGTGCTAGAAGCTGTCTCTGAATAAAGCCCACCTGCAGGACTCACTGCCCAGACACGGACTCTCTCCTATCTGAGCTCCTGGGGCAGGCGAACAATGAGTAAATGGTTTGTTTCCCAATTTTATGTAAGTGACTATCTTTATGTTGGCCAAACAGCCTCTCTCTCTGTCCTTTTATTTTGGCTAAAGAAAAGGAAAATGTGAGATGGAAGGCCATGCTTTGACTGACTGGTAATCACTGAACTGAAAGCAGAAGAGGTTGGTGAGAGAATGTCTGGGGCCTGCAGCTCCTCCTGGTCCTGCCTGACAATGCCCATGGAGGCTGCAGGACAAGGCCCGCCTGGAGGTGCAAGCCTCCAAGGGCCTGGTGCCCAGCATGACTTCGCAGCTGAGTAAAAAGAGAAGCATTATCACACAGAAACTCTGCCATGCAGGGTCCCACGTCCTAAGTGGAGATGCAGAGGAGAGATCTGCAGACACAAGGAGGGCCCCAGGGATCTAACTGACCTGCTCGCCTGGAACCACAGATCTTATTTTAGATTCTCATGTCTGCAGCAACCTAATTCAGCGTAGCTGGACAGCAATTTCAGAGGGCTCTGTTACCCCCATTCCTGTTTTACCTGTCTGTCCCGAGCAGAGACTGGAAAGCCAAATTACAGTCTCACAAGTTGGGCCAGTGGACCGTGCAAGGTGCTGAGTGGGACTCTGAGGTAAGTCTATTTTTAAGAACTGACCCTGCCCTCCCCACCCCAGACTGCCTCTTTCCTCTTTCCCGGGAGGTGGATGAAGAACACAGCTTTCTGCCCAGAAAGGGGCAAGAAGAGGGATATGAGCTTTGGTCTGTGCAGCACTGCACATGGCCACCTGTGAGTCCCTCTCTTGGAAGAGAAACATAACCTCTTGTTGTTTAGGCCACTGCTTTTCAAGTTTCTGACATCTGCCACTCAATACAGTTACTAATTGGTACAAGAAAACCTTTCCCTAGAGAAGGGATCAAAGGGAGAATGAGTACTAGCAGGTAGAATAAATGCCACAGCACAGCTTTCTATCAAAAATACACCGCCAATCAGCATTTCCTCCCAGCAAGATCATGAGGTCTGTGAATAGCAAAGTTCAGCAATTTTCAGCTGTATGAGTACCCTGTTATCACATATGGATTCTCTGAGGCCGGGCGTGGTGGCACACGCCTGTAATCCTAGCACTCAGGAGGCTGAGGCAGGAGGATCGCTGTAAATTCGAGACCAGCCTGGGCTACATAGTGAGTTCCAGGTGAGTCTCAACTACATAGTGAGACCCTGCCTCAAAAATAAAATAAAAAAACAAAACCCATATGGATTCTCTGATTTTATTTGGCACATTAGATTATTTATTTAATAAAACAGTCCTCTCTGTATTCACGCTAGGTAATGTTTCCTATCACAGACTCTGAGGCAGGAATCAGCACCCAACAGGGGGCTCCTGGACCAAAACAGAGGAGGAGAGCAGGCTGAAGAGGGCGCTGTGGAGCACGAGGCATCTCTTGTGGTCTTAGCACCTGGGGCAGCAGCATGGCTATGGCTGGGCTGGAGGGAGGGATCGCCGTTGAGGGGCATCCTCAGGGTGGGATTTGGAGGCCAGCAGTGTCCCATACTGTGCCAGGCGCACCCCACTCCTGCAGACCCAGTATTAACAAACCCACTGCATGTCTGCAGCAAGGTCAGCTAAGCGACTCGACTTACTGATGGTGGTGAACACGCTGGTGAAGCAGAAGTAGTCCACGGCATTAAGGGAAAGGAGATGGTAGAGGAACTGCTCTCTCTCCTCTTCACAACGCAGAAAAGCATAGCGCTTATAAAGCTTCCTAAGAAGGGTAAGAGGAGCACAAAACAAAAGTGTATATGTCATGCTTTTCACTATGTCTGGAGTAAAGAGAAATCCCAACCAAACAATGGGAAGGAACTTTACCTTCAAAGAACTGGCAGTCTGCAAATCTACAGACAGTTAAACTTCCCCTCCCACCCCCCACCCCGCATGGGGGAGGAACCCAGGGTCTCACTTGGTGGGGGGTACTCTTCCTGAGGGACATCCAAGCCCCTAGTAAAACACTTTCTACCTGACCGGTAGGAGGCAGAAGGGCACAAATTTACTTGTCTGTCATGCTCACAGCAGTGTGAAAGTGGCACCCAATGCTGGTAATGGAGAGCAAATAGTCTGTCACAGCTGTGCCGCAGGATCAGCAGGATCATTAACGGTTCATCTAAGCCCTCACTCATTGGTTCTACTCTCAGAATGCAGCTGAGGGCAGTGTGAAATGCGAGCAGTTACTAAAGTCCACTTCCCTGTCATCGGTAAGTCAAAATAGCTCATGAAAAAGTGCTTGCCTGGCATATGCACGGTCCTCGGCTTGGTCCTCAGAGCCAAAAAAACAAAAACAAAAACAAAAGCTACCATATTGTATAGTCATTAAAAATGAAGTTTAGAAAAAGTTGAAAAATAGCACAGATACCACTAAAGATACTGCCATTTTTCCTCCAGACAGTCTCACTATGTAGCCCAGGCCGGCCTTGAACTCTCAGCAATCCTCCTGCATCAGCCTCCTGAGTGCTGGGATTCAGGTGTGTGCTACCACACCTGGCTGCCACTTTTATTAAACACACGGATGAAGCGCTGTTCTTTTTCAAGCCTTTTATTATTGGTATTAACCCTCTGGTGTTTGTTTGTTTTTTTTGCTCTGAATTAAACCCAGGGCCTCACACATTCTTGGCAAGTGCTCTGCCACTAAGCTACATCTCCAGCCCATTTTATTTATTTTGGTACCAGGGATTGAACTAAAGATCTTGTGCTTGTGAGGCAGGTGTGGTGCCACTGAGCTAAATCCCAAGCACAAGATCCCAAATTCGACCCCTGGTACCGGCCTGCAAAATCAAATCCTTGGATCCTAAAACTCCTCCTTAAATGCTCCGGGGCCTGTAAAGAAAGGGAGACATATACAACCCAAAATTACACAAGATGCAGCAGGCACCAGGACGGCTTCCCACAGACCATCAGTCTGATGTAACCTTGCTCTTCAGAGCTCAGAGTTCTCTAATGTACACATCTGGACATGGTGTCATCCAGATTTCCCAACAAAGGGAACTGTTAGTCTGGCAAACGAAGACCTGATACTTCACTGGTTTCCTGGCTCTAACCTATCAAATATAAGTACCGGCAAGACTGTCAGATAAAGCCTTTTACTGCTGACCCTTGCCTTATCCTTTATTTGCTAGTCCAGATTTTCCTCCCCCTTGGTTTTTTGAGATAGGGTTGTGCTATGTGGTTCAGGCTAACCTTGAATTCACTATGTAGCCCAGGCTGGCCTTGGACTTACAGCGATCCTCCTGCCTCAGCCTCCTGAGTACTGGGGTTACAGGTGTGCACCATCATGCCCCACTTTTTAAAAAATTGTTTTTTTTGTTGTCGTTTTGTTTTTTAAGACAGGATCTCACTATGTAGTTGAGACTGCCCTGGATCTCACTATGTAGCCCAGGCTGGTCTCAAACTCACAGGGATCCTCCTGCCTCAGCCTCCTGAGTGCTGGGATTACAGGCATGTGTCACCACACCCAGCTTTTAAAAAAAAAAATTCTTGTTGTTGGGGATATAGCTCAGTGGTACCACACCTGCCTGGCAAGCGCAAGGTCCTGCGTTCGATCCCCAGGATTGGAAAAAAATTAAATTTTCGTTTCACAACATAGGATGTGGTCTTGTGGTCTGGTTAGCTTTTGCTCTGATCGCAGCGCAGCAGTCTGGTCTTGGGCTGTGAAGTGTAGGGTGTTTTCCCAGCAATGACCAAAAGCACTGTGCAGGCTGAACTGCAGAAGCACAGATGAGCAGCTCATGCTGAAGATGCTAGTTTGTCAGCTCCTGCAGCTTGCTTCCTGAGCACATGGCACACAAACAGACACATGTCACAAGGCAATCTTACTTGGTGAGTGGTTGGTTGGAGAGCAGCTGCTTGAGATGCTGAGACAGAAGCTTCTTTTCCAGAGACAGCCTTATCCACGCCCGAGCTCGCCCAACATCAGTCTTGATCTCACTCATGTTCTGAATATGCCTGGGAGCAGGAGTGACAGCGGAGAGTGGGTCTAGGGTCCCACTAGGCGAGGAAGAGCTACACAGTAACCAACAGCACTGGACACAGAGAAGTGACTTCATGTTCACGGGGAGCACTGCGCAAGATGCAGTCCGGGGGATGATAGACCCTCCCAAGATGCCACCTGTACAACAGACCCCACGTCAGACCTTCCTGCACATACGCACAAAGGCAGTGCCCTGTGGTGAACACTTAGCACGCACTCACTCCTCAGGATTTGCTATGTCCTCCTTTCAGCCTGAATGCAGGCAACTGACAGTTCTAGATTCTCAAGAAAATAAAAGCTACACACAATCAGAACAGTCAAGTTCATATTAAAAATGACTGTCCTATAGTTTAAATATCTGCCACAACTTTAACCCACTGAATGATTATTCAAGTTGTCCCAGACAATACATGGAAGATAGCAAGTCTTAATTTCCATGCCTTTAGAGAAGTCAAGTTACACTGTGTTGATAACTTTAAAAACTGGGGATTTAGCTCAGTGGTGCTGCCACCTGCCTCGCAAGCACAAGGTCCTGAGTTCAAGACCCGGTACCAAAAAAAGGTAACAAAACAAAAACTCACAAGATATGGAAAACTGTTCAGTCTCACAAAAAAATTACACAGCCAAACACCATCGGAATGTCACACACACACACACACACGCATTTGTATTCTATGAGGAAATCAATGCTATATCCAGAACTGAATTTATTTCCCTAAATGATTTTCCTCCTACAGGGGAAGGAGGATCAGATGGGAACTGAAAGGCTGACAGCATAAACTATGAAACCACTGCCGTCAGGGGAACTACTGGAAGTCTTTCTTCCTCTGGTTTAAAAATGTGAAAACATGTCCAGCATGACCCACACTGGCTGTAATAAACACTGCAGAACATCTCTGCTGATCCCAAGCACTCAGAGTATGGACAGCCCTCTGCAGCACACAGTCCCTCCCTCCCTGTCTCCTCTCTCCTGCTTTGTGAGGGTGAGGGTGCCTCCAACGCTCGCTGCTCCATGTAAGGCTGCACACTTCTGGTGGACAAGAGGCCCACAGCACTGTGTCCACCACAGATGCACTAACACTGAAGAAGTGGCCTGAAAACAGCTCAGTGTGAAGCAGTGACAGAAAGCTCTGCTGCCCCTTGACGGGACTCCCTATCACCTCATCTCAGAGAGCCCGTTTCTGAACTGACAGAAGACTTGTTTTATAGGATCGGTACTGCTACACGTGGCCACAGCAGAGGGATCTGTGTCCACCAAGACCAGGCCCAGGGCACTGGGCAGCTTCTGAAGTGGAAGTGGCTGTTCCTCAGCCCTCTGGTCTCAGCACCCAGATGGATGATTAAGAGCAACAAGGCTTTAAACTTCCACCATCCAATTCTACTCCATTCCTACACATTCATCAACTGGCACACATCTAAGAAAAGACATCATTTTTTGATCAGGACTTTATTTTCTGGCACCACAAAATGACCAGGACATTGTCTGTGTTTGTCCTGCCTCTGCCTGGAACCATCACCACTCTAGGAAGCCCTGGCCCCTGCATAGAGAGTGACCCCAAAACCTGTGTTTGTTCTCTGGATATGCTCACTGCTGCTGAAGAGATGGCCAGGAGGGCACCAAGCAAGAGAGGGACTGAAGACAGAGGAGTACAGGAGAGGGATGCTGACAACACTCACTCCTGCGTCACCTCTGTGCTTTTGCCAAGTCTGGAGAACCACATTCTAACAACCCAAACTTACCATACATCAATGAGGAAAAACTCAACCAGGAAGGCAAAGAACCCCCAACTGGAATACGAACTAACAAAAACAACTTAAGTGTGCTACAAATAAATAATTAACCACACTGAAGAGAATGGAGGAAAAAGAGGTAATCTAAGCTTTGGAAAACAGTCGTGATTGGATATGAAAGGCTACAGACAAAGAATACCAGAGCTGCACACTAACACCGTGCTGTGGTTAGCACACTTGTTCCCCACAGGGTATGGGCTGGCAACCCAAAACAACTGAAGTGCACACCACCAGTCCTAGCGGTCAGGAAGCTGAGCCAGGAGGACTGCAAGTGCAAGGCTAGCCTTGGCTACTTAGGGAGAGCCTGTCCCAAACCCAAACAAAGCAAAACCAAAAGAAAACAACAAACCCCTACTCAAGCCAACCCACCCACCCACCCACCCACTTACCCACCCAAAGGCTGGCTGTGTATACCAGGGTTGCACAAATAAGTAAATGCAATGTAGATGATTAGAGCGAGGTTTCTAGTGGCTGGATAAAGACATTACAAATAATGAAATGGGGAGGCTAGGCTGACTTCTGTGGTATTAAACTGGAAACATATTATCACAACTCATGGATTAAAAAAGCACCTCTGCGTGTGTTTAAGCACACATGCGTGCACACACACACAAAAAGGACTAAGTGCAGACACACAAGTAACTTATGCAGTGTATCAAAATTGGCGCGCGAGTGCACACACACACACACACACACACACACATTTCCAGACCTACTCTGGGCACTGCACATTTATGAACTCATTGACTCTTTTACACCAACATTTTGAGAGAAGTATTTTATTGTCACCATTTTATAGTGAGACACAGAGTGCAAGCACTTGCCCAGGCTACCAAGCTGGTTAGTGGCAGAGCTAAATACCAGCCCCTTGTAGGCTGAGCACAGAACCAAGGCGTCCTTTATTTTATTTTATTTTTTTGAGGATAGGGTCTTGCAGTGCAGCCTAGGCTGGTTTGGAATTCCTGGGTCTAGTGATGGTCCTGCCTCAGCCTGTAGTGCTGGGTCACAGGCGTGCTGCACAAAGCCTAGAGTCCTAACCAGCACACTCTACTGCCTTTCACAAAGTAAACACAGCAAGTGTAAGAAACACCTCTTCTGCTGCCCCTAAGATCAACCTGAAGTGTGCAAAAGTAAACAACAGGACACTGGAAGGAACAGGGTACCCCTAAGTTATCTGACCACCTCTTCACTGGGTTACCGAATTTTAGCTTGAGGTCACAGCAACACATCTTTCAACAGTCACCACACTGAGGTGACAGCTGCTGGGTTTTATGTTCTCCTGAAGAAATCTGGGACCATTTAAACTGACCATCACAAAGAATCATACGCTACATTTAGTCTACCAAGGCAAAATAACACTTTAAATATAAATATGCAAGTTGATTCATTTGACAGCTAACATGTAGCCAACTCTTAGCATGAAACAAGTATTTCTTTAAACTCTTTATGTGGACTAATTTAATTCTCATTTAATCAGTTCTTGGTATTTTGTTTAAAATTGGGTTGTAATTCTCACAACAATCCTATGAGACAGCTACTGTTTCTGTCCGATAGATAAGAAAACTGAGGCACAAGGAAATTATCAAATCAATATCCATAACTAATAATAAAACATACTATAGAAGAGAAGCCCCAAGTCATAGATGTCACCACGCTCTTTTTTTTTGGTTCGAGTGATTGAACTTGGGACCTTACACTTGCGAGGCAGGTGATAGCACCACTGAGCTAAATCCTCAACCCCACCACACTCATTCTTAAGAGCTGGCTAAGTACTGTGACTAAGATGTTTAAAAGGGGAAAAGCTTAACTTCTTCAATTAAAAAAAAAAAATCTATCTTAAATGTCTTAATGCCTTCTGAAGATATTCCCCATCCCCACCCCCAGTACTGGGAGTTGAACCCAGGGCCTTTGTACTGAGCTACATCTTCAGCCCTTTTAAAATTTTTCTTACTTCATTTTTTTTGTTTTGTTTTGTTTTGTTTTGTTTTTTGAGACAGGGTCTCACTATGTAGGTGAGACTGAGCTGGAACTCACTGTGTAGCCCAGGCTGGTCTCAAACTCCCAGTGATCCTCCTGCCTCAGCTTCCCAAGTGCTGGGATTACAGGAGTGCGCCACGACGCCCGGGTGAATTTTTCTTATTTCAAGAAGGAGTCTCACTAAGTCCCTAAGTTGCCCAGGCTGGTCTTGAACTGTTGATTCTCCTGCCTTGGCCTCCTGAGTACTGGGATTACAGGTGTGTGCCACTGTGCCCAGTCTTATTTGTTGTTTTTTCAGTCTATATTGGTAGACAGCAGGTATTTAAGAGAGTTGAGTTTTCTCTTTGGTGGGGTGGATTTAAGACAGGGTCTCTCTCCCTCTCTCTCTTTTTTCTTTTTTTTTTTGGTACCGGGAATCAAACTCAAGTCCTTGCTCTTGTAAGGCAGGCAGCAGAACCACTGAGGTAAATCCCCAGCCCGAGACAGTGTCTCATGATGTAGTTCAGGCCAGGTCTTGAACTCACCATGCAGCCCAGGCTAGCCTTGAATTCACAGAGATCCTCCTGCCTCAGCCTCCCAAGTGCTGGGATTACAGGTGTGTGCTACCACGCACCCAGCTTATGGGAGTTTTATTTTCCTTAAATTATAAAATAGTTTAAAGTTCTTTTATAACTTTTTGGCTGCATTCTCCCTTTGGATTCAAGGTTAGGCAAAAATACAAAGTATAAAAGTAAAATAAATTATTAAAATGCTTTCTGCAAGACACATAAGCAAAACATACACATAGCCATAATTATTTAAGACATTTAGATGAAGGTGATAAACTACTTCAAAGTTATTATCATATAGTAATCTACAATACCTCATATCTTGGATAAGAGAGACCCTGAGTGTTGGTAACATAACTCCTGAGTCAGATTTTCTTCTTTCTGGTCCAAGGGCAACTAAGTAGAAAGATACCAGCAAAGTATTAGAAAAATAACAGTAAGAACTTCGAAGATGACAAGAGAAAAGCTCAGTTGCCGCTTTACTGACCCGTGACCCTGGGACTGACCCAGGGCCCAGGTGGATGAGGCAAACCCTCCCCCTTAGGCACTCAGAAATTGAAATCACATACATTAAATCCCAAAAGAATTTTTTTTTAAACTGAGTTTTGGCTCTTTAGTTTGACATGTTTCTACTTCAAAGTCCAGAATCCAAATCACAATGTGCATATCATAAAGGAAGTAAGCTGGATCGTTAGTGTGTTATGTGCACGACTCACTAAGATGAATGTAAACTTCTTGTACACCAAATGTTCTAAAAAAAAAAAAAAAAGAAAAGAAAAAGACTGTACAGCTCACACTGATGGAGAAGGAAAGAGGATTCTCCTATAGCAGTGGCCACCAGCCAACTGCTGGCACATCTGTGACACACGCTTAGTGTCATCACTGAGACGCCAAGGGGTCTGCCGCCTTTTCTCCATTTCCATTTCGCTCACCTGAAAACTAAACTGTAATGCTGCCTAGAAAATTCACCAGTACAATTAGACCTGAGGGTTGGAGTTCTGCTGTAGTTTAAATGTGCTATTTTCTCAGATCTCTTTAGATCCATTCCACTCCGGAGACCAGGATACAATCTGCAATGGTCAAACATCGATGTGCAGCTGGCCCCGAGGAAAACAGGCAGGGAACAAAGGCAGGGCCAACACCTGCCACCCACGCACAATTACAAAGGGGCTGTCAAGGGGGAGAAGCAGTGCTTCTGAGAGCCTGCATGCCAGGTGTGTGGCCCAAAGCCCTCTGCTGGGGCAGGCGGGAAGGCACTTGTGATGTAGCGCAGAGTCCAGTGTGCCCTGATGCCCCGGGTGTGCTCACCTTCCGTCTGAGAATATACAAGCGACGTGTATCTGGGAAGGGGGAGAGTGACATGGCTCGGAAAATGACGCTGATCAGACAGCGTGAAAGATGGTCACACAAGTGGCAGGACACGGGCTAGGACGGGGACAAACAGATGCTACAGCTGAAGAGAGGCGCTGGAGCCACGGTTAGCCGATGGGATAGCCGGACACAGCAGAGCAAGGGGTACCGGAGCTCCTGAGAGACACTTGATCAAAGCAGGGCAGAGGGGGAGCTAAGGAGTATGGCATTTGCCTGCACGTGCATGGCTTGGGCTCATTCCCAGAACCACACTGAAGATGACAGAGAAGCCTGACATCTAACAAAGCAGTAGCATCCACGATAGAGCACTCACAGGCGTGAGCATGCTCTCCAAAGCCTGTCCCACACCCTGTCTGCTAGCCACCCTGCTCAGTGCAATCTCTTGCCAACACGGCAATGTTCTTTCTAATGTTGCCACCCATTGGTAAAGTGCCAAGCTCCTCTTTTAATGCTTCTGCACCTTTCTCCTCATTTCCAGCGCATTTATTACTGTAGAGTGCAGAACCGCACCCATGCCTTACTGATGTAGCACTCAGATTTCTTGGACCCTTTGGAGAATGTAACACATCTCTGTGGGTGAGCGAGGGACCCTCCGGTCTCACACCTTGTCCGTAACCAGCCTGTGAGATTTTCCCTGACATTCTCCTGTGGGCACGCTTGCTGGGGAAGCCATCCCCTCGCTCACAAGACCTGTAAGATGAGCCTCCACCACGAACACAGCACATGTAACATTCCAGTTACTCCTACTGAATTCTCTCCTCAGGCTCAGTCATCTCCTATCCTTAAGAGGGCCTGCTGAGGTAAATATAGCACACACTCTGCAGCATCATGAAGATGAGATGATTTTAGGCCACCGCTAGCACTTTCAATGCCAACTTGGAACTTCAGGAAGGGGTTCTGAAAAGGTATGCTATGCTCTGGGTGCTTTTTAGAGTAACAGTGAGGTCGTGTAAGGCAAATAAGGAAGTCAGATGCCCAGAACTGTTAAAAAAAAAAAGAAATAAGAGAGCTGAACTACAACTTATCCCAAAGACCAGCTGGTAGACAGGATAGTAGGAGGCAGCGAGCAGAGGGACTCGAGTCAATGCAACATTAAATATTAAAATGTTTTAATATATACTGTCCAGCTGGGCATGCTGCTGCACACCTGAATCTTAGCACTCTGGGAGGCTGAGGGAGGAAGATCACAAGCTCAAGCCCAGCCTGGGAAGTTTAGTGAGACCCTGTCTCACAAGAAAAACAAGGGCTAGGGATGAGGCTCACTGTTCAGACCCTGGACTCAATCCCAGGATATGTGTACACACACACTCTCACTCGCTTTCAAATAATTATTACCTTCTTTTGCTTTTTTGGGTGCTGGGAATTTGAGCCCAGACCTTCACACACTGGGCAGTTACTCTACTTCTGAGCTACACTCTATCAGCTGTGCTCTGAGCCTTGGCGGAAGCAGCCAAGTCACATACACCTCTCCCATGGGACAGTGCTGTAGGGTCATTTCCATGGAACGCTCCAGCACACTGCAGAGCATCAGTGGCTGGTGCCACAACGGAGAAGGTGCTGATGTGACTACCCAAGAGACACAGACGGAGAAAGCATGCCAGGGACAGGACGGGGAGGGCACAGAGAAAGGGCTGGTGTTAAAATGCTCCAAATTCCTAGATATTCCTCTTTGAATGCCCAGAAATTAGGACTACAGAGATCTGGAATAATGGGTGAATGCCACAAAAGGCAGCAGTTGCTGCTGTATTTCAAAATGTGTCCCCTGAAATGACCTGGAAGCCCCAGCCCCAGCACCAATGGGCCTGATCTTGCTGGGCATCTCTGCCAATGGTCACACTGAGCTCACAAGTGTGGGGCCTAATCAAACACAACCGAAGTCCTTACAGAACACAAGATGGCAGACGGGAGGGGAATGAAGCTGTAGACATGTGATGCTGGATTATGCCTTCCAGAACTGAGGATGCTGGGACTGAAGCCAGGGCCTCACACCAAGCATGCGCTCTCCCCTGGCCACACCCTTGGCCCAAGAAACTCACTTTTGCACAGTTACAACGCTATCTTCTCTCTCTCTACCTTTGTGTGGTGCTGGGGATCCAACCTATGATACTTCACATGCTAAGCACGTGCTCTACCACTGTGTTACATCCCCAGCTCTAGAATTTTTTGTTTGTTTTTTTGAGACAGGGTCTCACTATGTAGTTTAGACTGCTCTGGAACTTACTGTGTAGCCCAGGCTGGTCTGGAACTCACATTGATCCTCCTGCCTCAGCCTCCTAAGTGCTGGGATTACAGGCATGTGCCACCACGCCCAGCTGAAGAAAATATTTTTAAATTGATGTTTTTGTATCTATTTCATAATTTCATATCTATTTCATAATTTCATATTTTTAAGCCTGAACTTTCTAGGTTGAATCACAAGAAGTATTAGGGTAATATTAATAAAATCCACCCCTTTAACAAACTTTGATTTCAAAAGCAACACAGCTAATGCTGATCCTACTCAGGATCAGTATTTAACTCGCTGTGCTCCTTCTTACATCATTAACCCTTCACTGACATGAGGCAGTGGGGTAGAAACAGCACCATGGGAGACTTTGACACATCAATCTGTTTTGCTGGTCCCACTTCTGGCTGAAGATGGCTGCTGACAGCTAGGAATGTGAACTCCAAGGGAATCACTGATGCTGGACCAGCCAGGGTCCATGCAAAAGCTGGGCATCCTCTTTGGCCTCTACTTCCTTGCCTTAGCGGTAAGGCTGGCTGTTTCTTCTCAGGAATTTATCTTTTGTAATTAGATAAAAAGATCTAATTAGATAGAAAGATCTTGGTCTTTGGGCTAGGATCAAGTGTGAAACAGCTGGAGTCTTATGGTCTGAATTGCTGTATTTTCTGTTGGAGACAGTTCAGGGTATAAACCAATCTCTCCCTCAACAGAAAAAAGGGGAATAGGAGGTGGACATTAGAGAATGCTTTTAAACTTAGTATGAATCTTTTTTTTTTGTACTGGGGACTGAACTCAGGTCCTTGAGCTTGTGAGGCAGGTGCCGGAACCACTGAGCCATATCCCTGGCTAAACTTAATATGAATCTTTATTAATTATTAATTAATATGGTTATACCAGGACTGGGGTTTAACTTAGTGGTTCTGCTGCCTGCCTGGCAAATACAAGGTTCCGAGTTTGATCCCCGGTACCAAAAAAAAAAAAAAAATTATGGTTATACCTGGGGCATCAGGTGTGGGGCACAACATTCTTTCTGTTCAGAGGCGCTCCAGGGCAAGGAAGTGTCAAACTTACATTCCTAGGATAGCTGTCTGATCACATCTATTTTCAAATCAGATTTGTAACAGTGAACACCCCATAAGTGGTTGGCTTATGAGTTTTTAAAATTTTTATTTTTTTTTGCATTTCTGAATGTCTGATATAATGCATAATTTTACTTTTTGTGGGGGTGGGGTTTAAGACATGGTCTCACTATGGATTCTCACTATATAGCCTGGCCTGGCCTCAAACTTGTAATGATCTTCCTGCTTCAGTGGTAGTAGAATGTTTACCTACCATGTATAAAGCCCTAGGTTTAATCCCCAGCACCTTAAAAAAAGGCAAGCTCCTTGTGAAAAAATACATAGTAGGTAGAATATCTTGGGTTAAACCCAGTACCGCAAATACAAGGACCCTAGTATAACTCTAGTCTGCAGAAGAACTATGACACTCCTAACATGTGAGGTCTTCTCCAAACTGAAGAGGAGTCTGACTCCTAAGGCAGGTTTGGTGGCAGCTCCCGTGTTCCTGCTGCTCTTGGAGTCTGAGCCCAGGACCAGCCTAGGTAACACAGCAAAACCATGCCTATAAAATAAAGTTAAAAAAAAAAACCAAACCTGACTCTTCAAGCTTGAGACATAGATATATACTTGCCCCTAGAAGACTATAAATCATGGTCACACAATTTTCTTTAAGATAAAAAATCAGTACATAGCACCCTCCAATACTGGCGAGAGTAATGTATATATGTATGGCATCTGACAACTCAAGTTTTCACATATGTGAGTTCATAGCTAATACTATTCTGTCTTAGAATCTGAAGGCGGAAGATCAACAAGGTGCAGTGCCTTTCCCAGGCACACAGCTAAGGAACAATACTGCTCTTCTGTTCTGTCCTGAGGCTGCAAGATGGGCTGAGTGTTAGCTTGCGAGAGATAGGGATGGAAACAAGGCATCTCACTTGGACACTGCTGATTCCGCAGAACTGCCACTCCCACACCGACGCTCTCTCACCTGGCGATTCTGTGAGGTGCTCCTGCTTCTCCTCTCTGTCCTGAAACTGGATTAAATGTGACCACAAAGCTGACTTCCCCTGAAAGAACAACACAGATAAAAGTGCTCATTCTGAAGAAATAATCTGCTAAGACACGATTTCTCGTCCAAGACCATCCACGCTTCACTGTTCATTTCGTCCAGCAGTTTCATGGCTCAGTGCATCCATTTCTGGCTGTGTGATGCATGTGGGTGTCGTGTGTGTGGCTGGGGGGCTGAACCCACGTTGTGTTTCAACACCGAGGACTGGGAGCTTGCACAGCAGGACACTGATGCTGTCTTCAGTGGAATGTCAGAGGAGTGCTACACAGACACCAAGATGGATGAGAAAACACCAAACATCCGAGAGAACATCTTCCAGGAAGTTACTGGCTGAAAACCCGGTAGCCCTTTCCCAGCCTTGGAGGCAGTAACGAATGCCAGTAAAGCCACAGCTGTCACTAACCACTTCATTTTCAATGAAGGCTGCCACTTGCCTTTTCAGAGGCCAGCAGAAGTCAGATGTGGTGGCACACGCCTGTCATCCTCTTGGGAGGCCAACAGGAGGATTTTGAGTTCAGGTCCAGCCTGGTCTACATAGTAAGATTCCTCACTCTCAGGAAAAAAAAAAAAAAAGGCCAGTTCGCTTTAAAGTTCCTAAAGAGAAACAATTTATGGCTAGTACCGTAAGATTTGTTTTTCTGTTGTATGAAATGTATCCAGAAAAAGTAAATATAAAACTTATAATTTTGGATTATACAGATTTTTTTTTCTTAATTCATAAATAGATCATGAAGAGAGAGAGAGAGAGAGAGAGAGAGAGAGTGTGTGTGTGTGTGTGTGTGTGTGTGTGTGTGTTCTGGGGACTGAATTTTTGCACTGAGGTACACACATAGTCCTCTTTTTGAGACAGGGTCTTACTAAGTCATTCAATAAGTTGCCCAGGCTGAGCTTGAACTTCAGATCCTCCCGTAGTGACAGGATTTTGGCACTGGGGGTTGAACTTGGGTCCTTGCACTTGTGAGGCAAGCAGTGGCATCAATGATTACTTTTTGTTTTTAAGACAAGGTCTAATTACACAGCCCAGGCTTGCCTGGAACTCACAGTTATCCTCCTGTGTCAACCTACTGAGTGGTGGGATTATACATGTACAATACCACTCTCAGAGTGGTTTTTTTATTGTTAAAGAGTAAGTTCTTAGATTTCAGCTAAGTGGCCTTGTAATAATTATTCTGAATTCAACAGTTTCACCTGTTTGAATTTAAAATACTAAATTGTAATTACAACTGAGTATAAGTTCATGCTGACTTGGGGGCAAATCGTAAGAATATTCTTACTGGGAAGATGACTCAGTTTGGTCACTGGTCACAGGAACTGTCTCAGAGCTCAGTCCTAACACAAGAGCTGAGACACAGAGAAAGGAATGCTGAAAACAGAGGCAGACAGCAAAGCAGTACAGTAGAGCAGCTTTGGAATAACCAGGGGGGCAAGGAGAGGGAGCCCATCAGGCCAGGCTGGGTGTGCTCTCAGCCTGAGTCAGGTGTTCTGCCACTCCTCATCATAGCAGCCAGGATTCAGTGCCCCTGTCCAGACCCAGTGTTCCTTCAACGTGGCATAATCCATCATGTTACTCTAGAACAGTCCTGGTGGACCCATGGCACGCATGCCACGGCTGGCTGTTTGCTACCCTTGAAAGCTCTAAAGGTCCGCCGTCACTGCTCTAGAATATTTCCCCTATCTTAATAATGAAAGTTTGATTTTGGACCCACAGAAGCAAGGATGTGATAAATATGGGCTTATGGCTCAGGAGATTAAGGGTTTTGAACATGCTCACTGACTAGGCACAGTGAATTTGCCCAATAATGACAATGAAAAAAAGCGTTCATTTTCCAGAAATGTTTCTTGCAGCCATATTATTATTATTATTATTTTTTTTTGCTTTGAGACAGGGTCTCACTACGTAGTTCAGACTGCTCTGGAACTCAATGTGTAGCCTAGGCTGGTCTCGAACTTGCAGCGATTCCCCTGCCTCAGCCTTCCGAGTGCTGGGATTAAAGGCATGCGCCACGACGCCAGGCTCTTGCAGCCATATTAAAGTAAACTTCAAAACAAAACAAAACAAAACAAAACACATTAAAGGGTGGGCATGGTGGTGTATGCCTGTAACTCCAGCATTTGAGAGGTTGAGGCAGGAGGAGTGCCCTAAGTCCACAGCCATCCTGGACTACACACTGGGTTCAAGACCAGCCTTAACTATGTATATGGAATCTCAAAAAATCAAAACCAATGACCCAAACAAAAAGCCACATTAGAAAATGTACCCAGGGCCTTATGCACTAAGGGCAGGTACTGCACCACCGAGCCACACTCCAGCCCTGAGGGACACTGAGCTGTGTACTCCACATGTTCTATGGAGCACCTTCTGCCTCACTCAGAAGCCCAGCAGGAGCCTGGCAAAGGGAAGGGAAACAGCTACCAGAGGCCAGAAGGGCAGGCCTGCAGATTCTACTACTCAGCTGTACGTATGGGCCAGGTAGTGACCTGGATCAGGAAGCTGTCTGTAAACACCCATCCATGAACTGTGTGGACACGTGGGTACCACAGAAGAAAACTGGAGTGAGTAAAGACAAAGGGAGAGCCACATCAGAAACAGAACAGGCAGGGAGCCTGGGAAGAGGAACAGTTAACAGACTGAATTTTCCCACTAGGTAAAGGGTAAGGGCTGTTGGCTATGCCTAGTGGACTTTTATCCTGTTCAGAAGCAGACAATGAATCTATAAAGGATACAGCCTCTGCAATAAATGTGGTGGGATTTTTTGTTTTTTGAGACAGTATCTCACTACGTAGTTCAGGCTGGCCTCAAACTCACAATGATTCTCCTGCCCCAGCCTCCCAAGTGCTAGGATTACAGGCCTGCACCACTGCAAATGGCTGAATATGCTTTTTTTTACCCTTTCCCAAACCACCTTCTTTTTCCAGAATTAAAATGCCTATGGCACGGTTCTCATCATCTTGTGACAAAGGAACACAGCCTTTCTTATGATGTATTTTTTTCTTTGACACTTCTTTTTTGTGGGGCAGTGTGTGTGGGGCAGACCCAGGGCCTTCACACTGAGCTACATCCCTAGCCCTTTTTATTATATTTTATTTTTTATTTAGAGACAGGGTCTTGCTAAGTTGCTTAAGCTGGGCCTGAACTTGTGATTCTCTTGCCTCAGCCTCCTGAGGAGGTAGGATTGTAACTGTGCACCACTGTGCCCCACATAGCTAACAGTGCTCCTAGCTGCGACGTCCCCAGCATTCCTGCGAGTATTACCTGTTTGACCTGCAGGCCATGGCTCCATATCCTCTCCAGCAGGTCACAGAGGCTCGCGATCAAGGTATTCTCCTCCAGGCCAGTGATATTTGCCTCGCCATGGCCCAGCTCCACAGCTTCATGGCCCATCTTCTCTACCAGCATGCGCTTGGTCTGAAAATACCATGCACTTATGGGTTACCCAGCAGGAAATTACAAAGCAGTGAGTCAGTGGTCTTGGAGACCTGGCTTCTCCTCATTCTAGTTCTAATCACAGCTCTCTGATCACCTTGGGCGATGTCTTCATCTCTGTGGTTAACTGACTGCAGTAATATCTGTATTCTATTTTTGTGTCAGAGAAATGCAGGGTCACTAAAGAGAATGATATAATATTTATAAAGCATTCCTATGACGAAAGAAACGCTTATGTACAAGAACTTTCAGGTTATCCCCCTCTATGACATTGGGGAACTACAGCAGGTGTAGCAAACACACTGTCTGAACCTGCGCACAACTCAGTCAGTAGAGCATGAAACTCTAAATCTCAGAGTTGTGGGTTTGTGCTCCACACTGGGTGCTAATTACAGGAGACCCCTGCAGTTAGGTTCCAGTACCCTGCCCAGTATATGACACAGGCCTGAGGGAAAATAAAATATACTAAAAGACAAAACTAAGAGAGAGCAAGCAGGGTGCCAGGAAAACCAATGGCAGTGCAACCGACAAAGGCCCAGGCCAGGCCCAGGCACTTTCACTGGCAATCAGTTGGGGTAAAGGCAAGCTACATTCAAGGGTAGGGCTATGTGTGGTTTCTATGGAAATTAATGTAAACAAAGCTTGTAAAGGACAAGACAAAGCATTCTCAAATCAGGAACGAATAGATAAAATATATGATTACAATTAGTACACTGTCCTTCCAGTAAGGTTTTAATTGTGGGAATGGAATTTGGGTGTGAGTTACTCTGACTTTGGCACACAGAATTTGGCCAGACTCACTTCTCAAAACAAGCCAATTGCGGGCTTAACTCTTTACAGCCTGCTCTGGGCAGAATCACCATTATGGTTTCCTCCAAATGCTATACTGTTTGCAAAGCACTCCTATGATGAAAAAAAATACTTATGTACAAGAACTTTCAGGTTATCACCCTGTAAGATACTGGGGAAGTACAGCAGGTGAAGAAAACACACTGCACACAGCTCGCCCTCCACTGCCTCGCACCTCTCACTACACTGGGACAAAGATGGTTTCTGAGAGCTGCCTGGATTGTGAGGGAAGCAGGGCTCTCTTTCCCTTCCTCTTTTTTTTTTTTCTTCTCTGCTCACATGTATACACCAGAAAACAAAAAGGAAATGGATATTAGCTTTAGGTAAGTTAATCTGCTCTTAGCTGCTCTTTAAAATGTAAACTGAGAATTACCTTCTCTGAGGAAGGGAACTTGTCTGTGTGATTTGTCACTATCTGCTGATACCGAGGATGCATTTATTAAATATACAAAGAAGGCTGTCAAATATAGGAAATGACTGGTTAAGAGGATACTCTGAGTTTTGTCAGTTTGTACTGCTGTGTCCTCTAAAGTCAGGTATTTAAGAGGAGACCGTGGGCAGCACACACTAACCTATGACACAGCCAGGTCTTCCTAATGGGTACACAAACACATACACGTGCACACACAGGCCTCTCACATGCCAGACACAAGTCCTGAGTGGCTTAGCATCTGTTAGTGTTGAAGGGGAGGACAGCAGTAGCTGAAAGATGAGCAAGACTGGACACAGTTCCCACATCACTGATGTGAGGACCATGGAGGACCACAGAGGCGCATGGCACAGCATGTGAGGCCTACGCCACAAAGACACCTTTTTGGTTACCTAGGTGCAGATGGCAGTGGATTCTGCCCATCCCAGCCACATCTGGATAAAGAGATGACACTGTCTGGCATCAGCAATACATACCTTCATCCTGCACTCCTTTAATAAGCCTTCCACGAATTTCGAGTTGGTCTGTGCAATCACCGCAGGAGACAGGTCTGACAACTTGGGTTGTCTCAGGTTTTTTCCTAAATTTCGTGCCTCTTGCATATATTTCTAAAAATAAGAAGTATTTTTAGTACATAAACATCAGATATTCTGTTCTACTTTACCTTACACAAACGCAGAACAAACAAGATGCAAACACTCTGTAAGTACATGTGACTACAGAAAGGAATTAGCTCCAGAGTGCTAACAGATGGAGGACACCGATACTCTGCCCCAGCAACCTGTGAACTCCTCTGAGAAAAAGAGGACAAGAGAAACCTCCTCAGGTAAAACTCATTCAAAATGAGGTGGAGTCTAGCTTTTTATTTTATTTTATTCTGTTTGAAGCTGTGATTAATTAGGATCAAGTTTATAACAAAACCTCTCAGGTATGTGGATTATAATCCTGGTTCTACAGAAGGCTGGTGGCTCTCAGGTCCCCATCTGCCTTGCCTGCTCACCCTCCCACCCTCCGTGGTGCTCTGCAGACAAGCCCTCTGCTCTAAGAGTCTAAGCAGCACAATTGGGAGCTCCAGAATCCTGCTGCAATGTATATCATGACCTCAAGCACATCAACTGGGAAGGTTACATAACACAGCTATCTGCTAGGCAGACAGATGCATGCCCACTCAGCCCATCACAGGCTGTGGTATCACGTTGAGGGCATGACGCACTCAGGAGGCAGGAGGCCTCTCTGCTGTGGTGCTGCTGAGGCCCTCCTTACCACTGCTCCACAATCAGGAGGAAGTGGGATCATAGCAACAGCTTAGGGGCCACACCTGGTCACTGCAGAACCCATGCTCCCTCTTCTTTCTGGGCTCCCTGAAAAGTCTTATCTAGATGCTATACGTCTGCATCAGGCCACTGGATGGACTCCCCAAGAGGGCCACAGCAAAACCTACCTTATCCCTTAAGGAGAGAGCTTGATACTACAAGAAAAGGTATGTAAATCCTTCACATCCTTTAAACACAAGTGTGTATGATTAACACAGCTCCCCTCTGAAAGAAAACTAATCTGCTGTGAAAAAATAAAAAAATTCCACTGAGAGGGACTTAATGGAGCAGTTTACCTCTACTACTGCCCAACTCTCATGAATGTTGCAAGCATTTAGTTCCTGCAGTGCTTATATATACTTTTATGTTTCAAATATTTTTAAGAGGGCCTAAGAAAATGCAAAATTGATAATAAGGGATCTGCTATCAATGGCGAAGTTTAACAATGTGGGAAGAAACATTCTGGAAGCTAGTTTTCCAAATAAGTAAATATAGGAAATGAAAGCAGAATCTGAGAAATTAATCTGAAATATAGGGCAGAGGCCCTATATAAGAATTATACCTGTTTCCATTTGTTGTTTGGGATATATATTGAAAATGAGATAAAAAGCTGGTAAAAACAAATGTTAACTGTTAAATGTTTACTAACGGTCCTTTCTGTCCCCAGATTCAACACCTTGATCATTAGCACTCTTGCAAACAACACTGAGAGAACCCACGACAAGACTTGGTTCTCGAGAAGAGCTACGTGTCAAACTAGCTTAGGAAGAAATGCAATGGTTAGAAGAAAAGGAGTGCAAATATGGTTGGGCAAGAGGCTAGGAGGAGCTCTAGCATTTCTCTTTTTTCCCCCTGGAATATACGAGTAAACTTTGGAAAGCCAATAATTTGATTAGAACCTAAGCATTGTTTAAAGCATGTGTGAGGGTTTCCATGAATGCGCACCAGCCAGATGGGGTCTTTTCTTCGGGTGTATTTACTGAGCACCCACGTGGGCAGCTGTACCCACTAGCCAGCAGTGAGGCCATGGGGCTGAGTCTAGCTACCGGAACCACAGAATCAGCAACACCCAGGACACTCACGGGAAAGATGGGGCAAAGGGCTGAGAAGGGAGGCTGCCTCTGCATACAAAAAAATGGGGCACTCCCTGAAATTAAACAAGGGATGAGACAAATGGCAACCAGAAAAAAGATGTATTTTGAAATAAAAACAGGAAGATGAACCTTTCACAAAGAATGTTTTATTATAAGCCCATTTCTCTACAGACAGAAGTAACTCCAGATTTGTTTATCTTGTTTGTTTCTTTCTTTCTGTCAAAGACAAAAAGCAACAAACCAGTAGGATGTGCCTATGAAAATATATCCTACCATCAAGAAACACTATATATAGGCTTTACCTTTCTTTTCTAATCAACAACCTATCTCTTTAACTGATGCTGAATTTATGAAGAGAAGACCACTGTAGAATTACCTAACCAGTCTAACACATAGGAGAGGAGAAATCTATGGTCCCCGAGCACCCAGGTGCAGAGTGGTTAGCGCAGTGTGGTCTTCGGCATAAAGACTCCTGGCTTAGACACTGTGAGCCCTGGGCCGCAGGCTGCTCTGCCTTGGTGTCCTCTTCCTCTGGACATGCCTCTGGGACTTCAGATCAATCATGTCACGCTGTAAGGATGGCTTTAGAGGCTCCTGTGTTAGCCTAACATTCTATGTTGATGACTAGATTTCCCAACAACATAAAATGTAGATCAGGAAGATAAATGCTGTTGAGATAACACTCAGCAAAAAAGGGCTTATGTGTAATCACTTCTGTCCTTCTGCAAAATGTTTATATGAGAGGGAATTTGTAGCACTGGGGTGCAGCTTGGTGGCAGAATGCTTACCTAGCATGTACAAGGCTCTGGGTTTAAATGCCCAGCCCCACAACAGAGGGAATTTGCATGTTCAATATGTCTCTTACCTTTAGAAGACAAGTAATGTGCTATCCAGTACCAAAAAAAATGAAAACAAAACCCAAAACCAAACAAGTATGTCCCTACCACATTGGGCCTCAAAGGCCTTACGGTTAGCAGCATGGTTACCCATCTGTGTCTGCACACACTGCACTAAGAGCACCTGACACAGGAGGAGAGGCTGAGTGTTCACGTCACAAGGTGATGGAGGCATCTACAGCTACGTGCACACACATGTGTGTCCCAACCAAGCAACACGAGTGAACACCGGTGAACAATTCCAGGCAGAGGACCTACCAGGCAGCACTCAGAGAAGGACTTTTTAGGAAGCCATGTGGGAGGAGGGGGGCCCTGCTCCCATTCCCAGAATGCCATGGAGTTCTGACAGACAAGTTCCCTGGAAGGCTGAGATGACGGAGAAGTGGCAATGACAGGAATTGTAAAAGAAAAGGACAAGGGCCGGGATTTAGCTCAGTGGTTCCACCGCCTGCCTTGCAAGCACAAGGACCCAAGTTTGATCTCCCTGGTACCAAAAAAAAAGAAAAGGACAGGGGGCCAGGGGGCCAGGGATTTAGCTCAGTGATTTTGCCTCGCAAGCGCAAGGTCCTGAGTTCAATCCCTGGTACCAAAAAAAAAAGAAGAGGACAGGGAGAGAGAGAGAGAGAGGGGGAGAGAGGGAGAGAGAGGGGGAGAGAGAGAGAGAGAGAGAGAGAGAGAGAGAGAAGCAGAACAAGCATGCACATGACAAGAGCAAGCAAAAGGGAGGGGGAGAAAATAGCACAGCAGCCAAAGAAGAGCACTGAACAGGAGATACTTCCATTCTTAATAAAAATTAAAGGCACACATGAAAGTTAACAGAGGTCAACAGATGTTCTGAGTGATGTTTTCTGCTTCATTGTTATGCATTTGAACTTAGAAAATAACAGATGTTTTTCTTTTCTTTTTGAGACAGAGTCTCGCTATGTGGTCAAGGCTGGCCTCATAATTCTTGACGATCCTCCTGCCTCAGCCTCCCAAGTCCTAGGATGACAGGTGTGTGCCACCATACCCAGCAACAGACTTTCTGACTGCATTTGCTTTTGACTACAAGAAGTAATTAAAACTTACTTGTAATTACTAAAATGCTAAATGCAGTCTTATTTTTAAAGAGTACAAATAAAGCTCAAAGATTTCAATTTAGAAACAGTTATAAAATACTTTTAAAAAACGGAGTCAGCAAGCCAAGGCACAGGTAAATACACTACTCACTGTTTGAATTATACTTGAATTCTTGAAATGTCTGTGTTTCTTCTTATAGAAACCTAGGGTATTGACCTAAAGTTTACCCTCAGCATAGCTTTACTTGATACAGCACACAGAAAGACTTGTTATAGAATCTTAGATCACACGCACTGAAGTAATAAATATAGAAATGGGGTATTTTCTGCTACAAACCACCACCAAAGGTTCACATTTTAAAATGTGACAGGAGTTTTTGAGTCTGGGCTGCTGGTGAGCCTAGGTCCTGGGTCCTGGCCTCGTCCCACCAAGCAGCAGCTCGGAAACCCACCTCCCGCAGGTCGCTGTCCAGGCCAATGTGCTCTGAGTGCTGCCGAAGGCGCTCCTTTCTGCGCTGTGCCGTGGCACTCCGGCTCACCCAGCGACTGTGGAGGGAAACACACCAAGCCAGCTGTGAGATAAAAACATACTTGCTACCTTTACAAGAGGAAGAACTGGCTGATCAATACAAAAGGCTGACAACAGCTATTTTTCAATCAATTATCTATAAAATATTGTATGTAACAACTTTATTAGGATATAATTAGAATACCATGTAACCCACCTAATTAAAGCACACAATCCAATGGTTTTTGGTGTAACAGCAAGTATGTCAACCATGGCCACCATTAATGTCCTTTAATAACTAAGGTAAGAAGAGGATCAGTACAGGCTGGGGATGTAGCTCAGTGGGTGGTGCACTTGCCTAGCACTGGTGAGACTCCAGGTTTATTAATTCCAGGAGAGAAAAACCCCAAACAAACAAAAACAGTCCCATATACATTAAATACACAATAGCAACTTAGTCCTTAGCTACCGCAGACGTATAAGACATGCCTTAATGTTCTGGGGTAAATATTCGGGGTTTCTGGGAGGCACAGGCAGTGCCAGGATGCAATCAGACCCAGGCCACACACATTTCCCTCACTCTACCACTGAGCTAGCCCTCAGCCCTAGGCACAGCTTTGTAAAGTAACAAGTCCTTTCTGTAAAGTCATGTGCAGGGACCTGAGGACTCCTGGGATTTCTTTCAGCTCAAAACAACTGCATGTTATGTTTTTGTGAAATGGTAGCTCATATCTGTCAATTATTCTGGAAAAAATACTTATTTTATAAACTCAATACCAAAATATGCAGGAAAAACGAGTTCAAAGTACCACCTCAGCTCTTTTTCAGAGCCTATGAAACTCTCACAGCAGGGAGGTGCTTCACTCTGACCTTCCTCAGAGCACCTCCCCTAATGGACCACGTTCTAGCACGGTGACCATCATCTTGTCTAGACAATTCACTGACACATGATCGAGTCAGCCTGTTCATGTTGCTGAGGCCCTGCCTCAAAAAAATTAATATGGACTAGGGATGTAACTCATTGGTGGTATGCATCTTGCATGAGCAAGGCCCTTGGTTCAATCCTCTGTAAAACAAACAAAACAAAACAGTAAAATTTACTCATGGATAAAAAACAAAATTAGAGTTAACAGCCAGGGTGGTCCAAATAAATAGTAAAATTGTGAGACAATGTAGATACTAGCTAATGAACTTGCACAGCAAAGTGAAGGAGCAAGATGTAAACTGTGGGACATTTCTCTTCATGGGCAAAAGTGGGAAAGGTTTTGGAGAAAGAAAAGGATAAAGACTGACCAGTAAGATAACTGGCCCTTCTAACTATGTGCCCTATGGGACAAAATAGCCTATTTTTTTTCTTTAAAGTAGGGAAATGAGTAGTGCTTAAGAAAATTTCTATGAAGTTCATACATTCCTAGTGTTGAGTAATGAATTTATTCTCTGTATTAAACCTCATTTACTGATTGTAACCTTAACAATGATGGAGAATTGCTGACATACCCAAGACTGCTTATTTGCTTCTATCATATAAACATCCTATTAACTTCTAACATTTGATCAATCATTTACAGTATAGAGGCATGCTCTTAAATCACTTTCAGCTGTACCTAGAGTTCTGCGCTCTTTTCTCTTCCAGGCTATAATCTACAGGAAAATATAGTGCCTCAGGTTTAGTATGGAGATGGGAAACCTCAAGATTACATATAAAGGTTTAAAAAGCTAGCAAATAAAGCTGTCAGATTTGAAATCCTTCCTGCTATGCTCTATTTTCCTTTTCTGCTATATTTTCTTCGCAATGCTTATACTATTGTCATGGAACTTTTTTTACATAGTAAGTTTTGTTTTGTTTTTTGTACTGGGGGTTGAACTCAGGATCTTGCACTTGCCAGGCAGGTGACAAGTTGTTTTTTAAAATCTGTTTCCTTGCACTTAAGAACAGAGATCTTTGTTATGTTCACAGTAAATTCATGATGAATAGGACAGTCCTCACCAGGGTACTACAAACATTTACCAACCAAACGAATAAGCAACTTAATGCTATCAATGGAAGTAAAAACTATCAGACAAATAGTCTAGTGGCCATATCAAAGTGATTCAAAACAATCAAGACTTTTTTTTTTTTGGTACTGGGAAGTGAACTCGGGACCTTGTGTTAGCAAGGCAAACAGCAGCACCACTGACCCAAATCCCTGGCTCAATCAAGATATTTTAATAAAAGAAAAACAATGACTCATCTGTGTGACAGAAGAGTCTTGTAATTCTCATTCAGTTAATTCTGTAAAACACAACATTGTATCTGGTGCCATGGTTGGAAAGTTTGAACCTGCACAGTGGTCAGGCGTTTGTTGCACAATTTTATTTATCAAAGCATGGACCACTCTTCATTGGAGAGGGAAAAATTACAAAGCAAGCAGTGTCAAATGCTCAGGTGCCAGTTATTTGTTTATGTCTTATAAGCAGCACCTTAAATTCTAACAACCTACCTCCTCCAGACTTAATTAAAAACATCTGTATTACATCCAGGAGGGACACTGTAAAAGCCTTGTGCACAATAGGCAAACACTCTACCCCTGAGCTACATCATTGGCACAGGAGAGGAAGAGTTCATTGAGTACATAACTGTTTCCTCCTCCAGTAAAACCACCTTTATGACTGTCTTCATGAAGCTGAGAGAGCCTATTTAAATGAGTTCAGCTGAAGAAAGTTAAAAAAAACCTGACTATTCTTTGCATCATGCTCCCCACCCCCGATATTCAAAAGATTCCTGGTACTGAGGATTTTCTATACCCTTGAACAGTCTTTGTGAATTGGACACCATGAACACGATGTAGGGGGCAACTCTGAACTGAGCTGAACCGAATCTTCAGGGCTGGGGCCTCTGATTCCAGGAATACTTTTGCAGCTTGTCAGAAGATCTGCTCTTTTGAGTGCATCCCACTCTAAGAATGAGGTAAGGCTTCGAAGGAGTCTTCATTCTGGAAGGATCACTGACTAGTGGCCGTCACTCAACTCTCTCATGTTCAGTATTTAGCTAATTCAAGATTTCTTGGGGCTGCTGGTGTAGTTCAGTGAAGAGCACTTGCCTAGCATGGGTGAGACTCTAGACTCCATCCCAGCACTAGGGCCCCCAAGGACCATAGTACCCTCTCATCACAGCAGCAGAGTACAGCAGGACATGTAAAGTACGGAGCCCCTGAATCAGCAGGCCTAGGTTGGAATCCTAGTTTCAACATTTCCTAGCCATGTCATCTTGGTACAAGCTGTTGAACCTCTCTAAACCTCACTTATAACTGAGTAAAACAAAGTAAGCTTATGTTTAAGAATATGCTTACAACAAGGATGAATGGCCTGATGAGCTTTACAGCCATCAACAGAGAAGCTAGTGCAGAACCAGGTTAGTTACAGTAGTAGCCATTACCGTCAGCAGAAGCATCACCCCAGAGCCACCTTTCATGGCATGAGGAAGGCTCCACTGCCAGGAAATATAGAGATATAGATATTTTTTTTGAGACAGGGTCTCATTATATAGTTCATGCTGGCCTCGAACTCACTATGTAGCCCAGGCTGACCTCAGCCTTCTGAATTCTGGGATTATGGGCGTGTGCCACCACACTCAGCTGAGAAAAGACATATTGGAAAGTAGAAAAAAAAGTGGGCAAGGAGGAAGAACAGTAAATACTGAAGTAAAGCAGCAGTAGAAGTTTCCAAAGTTTCTGGCTGATACCTGTCAGTCAGACCAGAGGCTTATAATTAAGACTCTGAAAGGAAAAAGAGTGGTGTGTGCAGCACTGTAACTCCTTCTTTCTGTTTATATACACTGTTCCCCTCTCATGTGCGGGCTATCATTCGAATTCTCTGATATCTGGACCTGAGTCTACCTTTCTCACATATTTCAAAATCACATTTGAGTGGAAAGCAGAAGGAAGAATGGTTGAGAGGAAGTATGTATATATGCCAGTTCTCCAATGAATGTATTATTATGCTGAAAACATATTTTAAAAGATACATTTCAGATCACTTGACTAAAAAAAGAGAAATCGTGTGATCTGAAAGGTAACAGTTTATTCACTGGACTATTTATATAATGTTTTGTTTGCTTCTCACTAAATGATACGAAAAATTAAAAAAGCATATTTGAACAAATGCTTTCAATTAGTCAACTAGAAAAATGGCAAGGCTTTCCTTTCTTTCAAGGTATAAAATAAAAATAAGACATAAGCAGGGCAAACTTGAATACAGAGATAAATGTTACCATCTCAGAAATGCCTTCTAGCACCAAGTGCCTAGATAAGCACAGTATTTGTTAAATTAAATCAACTGCTATCGTCAAATGTAAACAGCAGGAAACTGCAGTTTCCTCTGTCCTGGCGAATAACCATGACAAGCATTTGGGAAAGAGATGCATACCAAAAATCCCACAACAGCTCAGCACATCACCTGAGGTGGGATGTCACACTTCCTTGCCATCTTTTAAGAGCTTCACACTTCTTACTTAGGTCGAAGACATAATCAACCTCTTCTATCTCCTCCTTGGCTCTCTATGTGCCTTGTGGAAAGTCAGGCGGGTGGGTGCCACTGTATTCTGCACACCCAGTCTTTCTTTTCCTTTCCGTGGCCTTCCTGGCTCTCTTGCGTGTCCCTTCTCTGAGCCTCTTACTGAACGAGTAGACTGCAGACCTGCAGAGGCAACCCGCCACACCTGGGTCAAGGTTCCCAGGCTGGTGAGTGGTGAAGAATGAAGTGAATTACAGAGCTTCTGACTTAATCAGAAGTCACTCTTCCTTACTAAGGCCACATCACCGTTAATACTTCGCTCCTTCTCACCTGTGAACAGAACTCTTTAACATTCACTTAAAACCAAGCACCCCCCCCAAGTCCAAATACTGCACTTAATTTCAGTATTCCCTTCCCTTCCTTCCTCCCTTTAGGAGGTGTTGGGTTACTAAATCCAGGACCTCACACACACAAAGCAAGCATTCTAAAGGTCTGCTGAATCTCCAGACCTCTTTTTTTTCCAGTTCTAACCATATTCAGATATTTTATGGAAGGACTCATCCACTATAATGAGTAACAGGGTTTATCTTTATATTTGCTTTTTCATAGCTTTGTATTTGATACTTCAGAGCAAGAGTGGTGTACAGGATGAACTGCATTCTCCACAATGACATGCTGAAGTCTAGCTTGCTTTGCACCTAGGACGTTGTAGGCTTTTTCAAGTTAAGAAGAGTCATTGGGGCACAGCCCAGTATGATTGGTGTCCCTGTGAGAGAAGGGAGATGTGCACATGGACAGAGGGAGGGTGGCTGTACAGAGATGCAGATGGAGCCCAGATTGAGCTGTAAAAGCCAAGAAGCTGGGGCCACTGAGAGCTGGAGGAGGCAGGAAACTCATCACCCTGAGAAGCCTTTGAGGGACAATGACTGTGCCAGGGCCCTGGTTTTGGGTCTTTCATTTCTAGGGCTATAAGAGAAAACACCAGGGTTTTAAGGCAGCACATTTATGGTATTTCGTTATGGCAGTCCTAGGAAAGCAGTACAGCGAAGACTTACTGGTATTACATCTAGATACAGTCATGCGAAATGTGGCCCTCAGTTTGATCCCTAGCATTGCCAAGAAAAAACAGCTATTCCCAAGTGTACTTTTCTTTGGCAGCAAACAAAACAAAACTCTCATCTTTTTTTCCTGTTGTACTGGGGACTGAATCAGGAACCTCATGCATGCTAGGCAAGTGCTCCACCACTGAATTGCATTTCCAACCCTTTTTAAATTTTGAAACTGGGTCCCACTAAGTTGCCCAGTCTGGCCTCAAACTTGTAATCTTCATTCCTCAGTCTCCCAAATAGCTGGGATTAACAGATATGCACCTCCACACTGAGCCATCTTTGTTTTTTATTTATACATGACAGAATGAACCCCCTTAGGTCAAAGACTGCAATTAAAAAAAAAATTACATGAAATTAATATATTTTACCTAGAAAAATTCAAGGAACAAGAATTTGAAGATTAAAAAATTTCATTATGTTCCATTGTTATGGGCATTCCAAATATGGAACACTAGGAATATAAGGGTTAAAAGCCAAGCATTAACAGTGTCAATCCTATTTCAAATGAATTAATATGGTCTTAAAAAAAGTAATCAGACAAAGAGATGTCTAATGGTTACACAGTGCCTCAATAGAATTGTGGAGCACCCCACCCTTCATTCATTCCTTCAATTACTTACTCAAGTGAACAATAGGCTTACTTGTTATTGGTGGGTCCTGTTGCCAAGACATCGGACTGTAATTTTGGAAAGAACCCTTGCTCATATTTGCCTTGACCAATTTTCATATCCAGCAGATGTGGATGGATTGCAGTGTGATCCATTTTTATTAGTCTCTGCTCAATGGATTGGGCTAAAAATTAAATTTATAACAAATTAGACCTATGATGAATGTAATCACTATGTACTGCAAGCATATACTGATAAAAATAATAAATTGAAAAGAGCAAATTAGAGGTATTTCATTGCTAACATTTCAAAAGTAATGCTTCTTCCACTCACGCACAAGAGAACTCAATCACAACGTCCTGAAATCAGTATAATGTGAATACAGAAAGGTCAATTTTAAATAAATATCGGATGATTAATTTTCACAGTGCTTTCTGCCTTTTCCAGAAGCTGGGTAGTGAAGCTGAAAAATCCGTAATTTAGTATTGAGAGTTTTCTTAAAATAGGAAATTCAATATTCTTAACAAAAACATGGTTCTAAGTACATTAAAGAAAACTGATGGCAAGTAAAATATTTTTCTTGAGCTGAGAGAGAATGTGAAGAGAAGGAAGAAGCAAACATTCTGAAACACTCATGCCTCCTGTCTGCAAGAAGGAATCCTGTGAAGTCCTCTCCTTCACTTTCAGCAACAGCCTCGTTGCCATTAGCAGGAGTCTTTAGGGTGCTTATCAGATCAGGAAGGTAGCAGAGAAGCCAGATAAGCAGGCATTTAGAAAATGTTCAGAGGATAAGAAACTAGCCTTCTGAAGAATGAATAGGTCAAAGTAGAAAGGCAAGAATTACTCAGCATTTGTTTTAAAACACATTAAATTTGATGGTGGTGGAGGATGTCTCTAAGACCAAACAGAGTGATCTGCTTTCCTGCTAAAACAAAATAACCCTCATCTTATTTTTATTAACCAAATCTTCAGGAGAAAATACAACATCAGAAGAGCAAGACTAGGTCCCCAATCCTTTACCAACAGATTGCTAGACAGGCATAAAAACCAGTGAACTGCTGCCCTGTGGTACATAGAACACACTAGGGAACTGCTGATCTGGTGACCTAGGAGAAGAAGGCAGCTTTACCAATATTTCACAGAATCCATTCATTTGCCCCTTTTCATTGCCAGCAGAACTAAGTCATGCTGGCTATTCTCCAAATACATTCTAAAGCTTCTGGGGAAGGAATCTGACTCTTCGCAGATCCACACTGAATGCCATTGGTGTGCACTCACAGAACGGCTCCCCGGGCCAGCGGTCCATGTCCGACAAAGTACTAAGGGTTACCATCTCTGTGACTTAACGTCATTAGGTAATGGACCTTAAGCTTCCCCAGACTCCTCTCATACATCACACGAGTTCATCTAAAACTTTCTTGAATTTCATTATATTTTAATGTATAACTTGTAACTTCTCTTAGAACATAGGCCGTAAGTTTTATGCTGTGCAAAAGAATGCTATGTTTTAGTGAAAAGGGACATTCAATTTTCACTGATGTCCAATGACCTTCCATACTCCATCTATACTTTCTAGGCATCCTAATACTTACAAAACATTAATTAATGGATGATTCGGGCAAAATGATGACTAGATCCATGGCATGGAATTCCCAGAGGACTCTGTCAGTTCTATGTTCCATGAAGTACTATAAAACTGCATTTCTGCCAAGGGCTTGTTCTCACAAAAGGAAAAAATATAAAAGGAGCTTCAGTTTTTGTTGGGTTTATGCATATTTGTATGTATATATGGTTTCTTTGAGACAGAGTCTTGCCATATAGCCAGGCTGACCTCCAACTTATTATGCAGCCCAGGTTATCTGGGAATTTTCAATCCTCTTTTCTCAGCCTCCTAAATGCTGGGATTACATCCATTGGAAAGACAAAGAAATGCATACAACATAATATCAAGTTGTTCTCCTTTGCTTGGAAAGTTAAAAACTTTCCAAACAAAAATCAAGATTCATAATGAATTACTCTAGTTTTTGTATTTTAAATTGTTACAGGGAGCATAGCATAACGTTACTTTCTGTGATGGTATCACCAGTGAACACTGAGTGTTCAGAAATTAGCAAGTGCCTATTTTGAGAGGCCAGGGGTCTGTTAGGCTTTAAAGGGTTTGTGCCTTACTGTCTTGTGTGGAATGGTAAGAAAAAGAAAACCATATTACTATCTACTCCTTGTCTTTCTGTACAGAAATCATGAGGTTCTGGTGCCACAATATCAGTAGCAGATAGCCTGTGCCTAAACAGCTCACCTGTAAATCAAAATGCTTTCTGATTAGAGGCAAAACACCACCAAAAGCATATGCACACATACACAGAACCTAATACCCAATAAAAACCCAATGACATCCACAATATCCCAATCTCTGGAATTTGGGGAAGGATAATTTCACTTGATAAAGGAATAAACTACATAATTTATAGACAGTAAGCACAGTCATACCAAGTTGTTTCCTTTTGCTTCTAAAAAGAATCTAACAGATTAGCCTTCTGGAGGCTACCATCTTAGCTTAATCTCGTTTTCCTACATACGAACACTACAGTGGTATATTTTCAAAGGGGTTTTATATAATTTTTGTGATGACAGTCGGACTCTATAAGAGGCTGAAATTCTTTTAATTGGAAAGACATCCTTTATAGAAGCATGTAAGTTAAGAAAGTGGTGCTTAATTCCATTTTTAACATTCTGTCAGGAAGGAAGAGATGAAATTTGCTCACTAAGGCATTATATTACTCACATGGCTGTTAAAGCACTGGGAAGTCAGAATTCTCTGAACTTGTATAAATAATTTTATTTTTCTGCCTACTCATTTCTAGAAGCACGTAGGTAACTGTCATTTCCTGAAGGGGCTTCCGAAGATCTACTCTTGTACACAGGAATACAACAAGCAATGTCTCAGAGACCTGTACATCTCTCTAAGAGATACCATTTAATACTTCTTTCCTTGAATATGCTAAAGTGTCACTGCTTCTAAGAATGATCTAGTTAAGTCAAGTGTTAAAGGCAAGCAAGCAGCAGAGGCAGAGCAGAGTGCTACAACTGTGGTCTCTTTTTCTCTGACAGAAAAATTAAGCTCAAACAGCACTACATCTGAAGGAAAAGAAATAAAAGGAAGATTCTTTTCCCCCAGCAAAGAATGGTTTAGGAACAGCTAACAAGAGATGAAGGCTTCATTGACTAGAATCAGTTGCACCTGGATGTGAACCACGGCTCCACCAATAACTAGCTACACACAACTGGAGGCAAATCACTTATCCTCCCAGCTTTCTAACTAAAAAGTAAGGACAGTAATAAAACACAAAAACAAGTGTGCTTCTATCCTGTTGCTAAGATTAAATGCAAAGAGCATCTGCGGCACTTGCTATAATGAATGGCACATAGTCGGTACTGAAATTAATAGTCATTTACTTAATGGGTTACATTACACTCTTAGGACTGGCTCAGGATTCTCTGACCTGGGGAAAAGGGTGTCAGGATTCTGAATGCAAGAATTTCCCCTCATTTGAATGTAAGAATTCAGCAATTGAATTTCAACAAATGAAGATATATAATTAGTGATAACGATGCAGCAAATACAATGTTTCTGTTATATAAACTAAGCAGCTTCTCAGATCTTTTAGTTAATATTTTTCTTGGATAATGAAAGAAGAGGAGAAACGGAAAAGGGCAGCACCAATACCAACAAGATAGAAATCAACTTTTTTCTACTGAGGCAATACAGTAAGACAAAAATCATAGCAATATTCTTGTTATGCTCCATTCAGTTTATTATTGGTTTTTCCTCTTTTGTCTAAGTGAAGAGAGGAAAGTCCAGGAGGAATGGGGACTCACAGAGACAGGAAGAAAACTATAGGAACTCTTTGATATATAGTAGGAGGACAAGCCACAAAGTCTAAAAGTGAAGATTAGCTATGTAGTATACAAGGCCAACAACGCATAAAAGAAAGGTCATAAATTTTAATTTTAAAAAGTATGGTAGGGTCAGGGACGTAGTTCAGTGGTGCTTTGCTTACCTGGCAAGCACAAGGTCCTGAGTTTCATCCCTGGTACCAAAAAAAAAAAAAGAAAAAGTATGGCAAATGTACCTGCTTCTTTTAAAGTGCTGCATTTCTGATATATAGATGTCCGCAACGTGGGTGCCCTTACACTGTACAATCTTATCTTCTCAATCCGAGAATCAAAGACCCGAAGTAAAGGGTCTTTCTCTTCCCACTGAGACATAATTTTATTATCAATAAAGGTGGCAAACATCTGTGTTTCAATGAAGCGTGAAAGAAATGGCAGGTAAGGCTCAGGCTGGTCAGACAGGAAAGAAGCCTGTAATGAGATAATTAGCAGATTATTACTGTAAAGAGACTAGATCGATACTATGTATTAAACCTGAAAATTATCGTTTGTTAAGATTATTCTTTTTAAAACTTAACAACATATAAAACAGACACCTGGTATTAAACATTCCTTATAAATCGAATCTTCCTTTTTCTATATTTATAGAAGGCACTTCGGTCTTTAGCACAGATGTTCTCTTTCAAACCAGTTTACGTTGTGAACCTGAGGACCACTGTGCAGGCCAGAGGGCTTCACTAATGAAAGGTAGGTAAGGGGCTGTGACTGACGGTGTCATTCGCTTCACTCACCATTAAAGGTCGATCCCTCTCCCCAGTGAATGATTCCTTTTGCTACCTCCAAGCCAAAAGGCAATGAATTAACTGATACAATAATGACATACATATCAGCAGGAACCTTCTCAAAAGGACAACACAGAATTCATGGTGAAGAGTGAAATTCTTTTGTTCTTCAAAGGATACTTTTCTGGAGGTCAACTCTCTTTGTTAACAAAGTTCAGGATCAAACTTAGCAAACTTCTTCAAGACCTGTGCTGACACAACAGTCTAGGGTTTAAGAAATGTAAAAATCTTTGCTTGAAAAATCACCAGAAGCATGTCTTTGGAAAACTGTGCAACCAGCTGGACCTTCCTATTTCCAGCCCGTTGGATACACAGTAAATTTAGTAAGTTACAATCCATTTCTGCTGCAAAGCGGTCACTTTTTCCTGTTGTTTTCAGGTTCACATGCACAGGAGTTCTTGTCGCAGACTAGCTGAAAAGTGGAAGTGACTCACTGCTTAGTTTACTGGGTCTGCTTCCCTTCTCATTCGAGTAGATGTGGTGCAGAAGAAGCCAGAAGGGAAAGGGGGAAGGGTAAATTCTGACATAAGGTTACTTTTCTTAATAATGTACTCATTAGCTTCCTCCTAGTGTATTTATTTTTCGTCGTGAAACTTCAGAGGCCTTTTAAAAGCTTCCTTACAAAAACCCACTTATTTAAGATAAGTGCTTCCATACTTTAGGTAAATTTACATGAATCCAAACTACTAGAGAAAGAGGCACAGTAGTCTCTAGAAATCAGTTCACTTCCTCAAAAGGCAGCTTACAGATGAGTATCACTCTCTCTACAGAGCAAATAACCTTAGAAACATGAATTAAATAGCCAAATCTGACTCTTGATTTTCAGGTCTTCCCAGGCTACAGCATTTAAGATCAACAAAAACCTGGCTTCCAGGATTAGTATGTCCTGCCTATTTTGCTAATGAAAAATGAGATGATTACAAGCCTTTTGCAGAATATCCAATATGAAACTCATTTTTAGGAGCTATAGAATTCCACTTATAGTTTGAAACTACAAAAAGATTAAAAGGGAAATTACTAAGGCTCAATTTAAGTAAGAATGTGAATTTTCCCAAGGGTGAATCATGAATGTACAGAGTAGTTCCCTACAGGAAAAAAAGTGTAGAAAAAACTTAAGGTAAATGAGAAAGGGACTAAGAGTAGGAACACATCTGAATAAGTTTCTTAAAATTAAAGAAGTTTAATCGAACATGAAGTGCACCAGCAAGTTCTGACGTACATAGTATTACACTCTCTATCAGAAAAATATTATGGAATTAGTTATCTTTTAGCTACCTCACTTTAAAGAGAAGTTTAGTGCATACTGTGGTCAGATGGCCCAAGACTGTCCTTTAGTGTTCAGGAATGCAGTCCTTTTGGGAGGCCTTAGTGACACGAAGATGCCACTTAGTGAAAGCCATGATTCCTTCTAACAGCACTGATACACCAAAGCGGTCACAGGCAGGGGAGTGAACTGTGCCCTAGTGACCTAAAAGCACATCCCTAAGTGCTTCTGTCTGAAAAAACCCAACCCAACCCTGTGGAATAAGTGAAGAAAACCTGGCAAAAGAATACAGTTACCCTTAGAGAGGTTTCCACAGGACAATCAAAAGGTGGTATCATTTTCTGGCTACCTTTTCCAAAAACTCTGGAAGAGTCTTAGACTAACAGTCATAAAATCGAATTTCATTCTCTCTTTCTACTGATCCTAAAATGTGGCGAAAATTTGGATTCTGAAACTGAACTGTTACCTTTACACGGACAAGGGGGTGGACTTCAATACAGGATAAAGACTAAATATGTATAAGAAACAAGGATTTTTTCAGAAAAGGAACATATTTTATCAGACAAGACTTGATCATAAAATTAGAGTAAAAGACCATCACCATGTCAGATAATGTTAACAGATTTGAAAAACCCATGAAAAGTAAGATTTTCTATAATTTAAACATTGTGAAAATTCAGGAAATGAAAAAATGAGATTATAGGTAATACAGCACACAACTCAGTAATTATTATGTCTAGCACAAGTGCCTTTGCTTGCACTGAGCTAAATGTCTAGCTCTTTTTAAATTTTGAGATAAGGTTTTGGGAGGTCCCTAACCTGCCCACAGTGGGCTCACACTTTCAATTTTCTTGTCTCAGTTTTCCAGAGTACTGGGATTACAGGCATGTGGCGACATGTCGAACTAAAGAAAAGGGAGAAAGAAAGGAAAAAAAATTAAAAAAAAAAAAAAAAAAAAAAAAAAAAACACAGGAGGGGGGAGGTTTTGCACATGGGGTGTCCCTTGCCTGACTTGTAAGCACAAGGTCTTGAGTTCGATCCCTGGTATAAGATTAAAATTAAAAAAAAAAAAAAAAAAACACAGGAGGGGGGAGGTTTTGCACATGGGGTGTCCCTTGCCTGACTTGTAAGCACAAGGTCTTGAGTTCGATCCCTGGTATAAAATTAAAATTAAAAAAAAAAAAAGTCAACCTGACAGGTATGAAGCACAGGCCTCTACTCCCAGCACTCAGGAGGCTGAGGTGAGAGGATCACTGCAAGTTTGAGGCCAGCCTGGTCTGCACAGTGAGTTTGAGGCCAGCCCGGAATAGTGAGACCCTGTCTCATAAAACAACAATAGTTAACCAGATCTGTAATAAAGCCCACTAAGAATCATGGAAAGGAAAACTGCGACTTTTTACTTTATCAAAGTTCTGCATCTGCTCCCGGTTGGTTAACCAGGATTCCATGTCCTGGGCGGTCTGAATCACAAAGGCTTCATAATCTGCGAACATCTGTGTGAAGCGGTTAGCGAAGACCTCCCGAAGCTGCACGTTAAGCTGGTAGTCCCTGAGTTCTGCCTCGTCACACTGTAGCTTCAGGTCCTTGTCTTTTTCACCCAGGGAAGTGGAGAGGTCCACTTTCTCCACAGTCACCCCAGTGCGCTTGGCCAGGGCCTGCAGGCGAGCGATGGTTTCATTGCCTTTCAGGAGCTCATACATGCTGATGCTGTTGGCGGAGACATTGCCGTTCTTTTTGTCATTGACAAAATCCTTGAGAACCAGGTTCTTCAGCTTGGTGGCACTCTCACTGGAATGCAGGCTGCCCTCGGGAGGGATCCCAAACTGGAGGAGGACCTCAGAGAGCTCCTGGATAAAATCCACTTTATTGGGGAACTGTGGGAATTCCTCAGGCAACTCAATAAAATGGTTGTCAATATCCACAAAACACAAATTAGCCTGAAAGAGAAAAAATTCAAAGGTTTACAGGAATTTAAAATGTTTTAAATATTATTGCCAATTATTATAAATAACAGCACAGATTATGGGTGTTTTTTTTTTTTCCAGTACTTAAGACTGAACTGAGGGCCTCAGCCCTGAGCTACATCCTTGACCCTTTCTTATTTTGAGATAGTGTCTTGTTAAGTTGCCCAGGCTGGGCTTGAACTTGTGATTCTCCTGCCTCTGCCTCTCAGAGAGTTTTTTGCCACCTGTAATTTCACCATCATGTTTTTCTATTTGTTAAACTTTAAATAATCCATGACTTTTATGTTAATCATCTCAAGGTTCAGTTTATTTGTTTTTTTTTCTGGGTGTGCTAGGGAATGGACCCATAGCTAAGTACATACCCTACCACTGGGCCACACTCCCACTCCATGAATTTCAGGAAAAAAAAAATATCTTTTGTTGGCATATTTGCCTAGGTATTTATGTCATATTTAATATCTATAACAGGTTTCTCTTGGTCTCAGCAATTTACTCTAATCTGACCAGAAGATCTCATGTTTGGCACCTATTAGGCATACCTAAATGTATAAAGGTGTATAAAGGATTCACGGGACCTTAAGAATGGATGTTTCTGGGTCAAATGCTCACTAGCTAAGCTTTACCATTCTTTGCATTTCATTGCTCTAGCATCTGTAACTTAGAACTGACAATAACTGCTAAAAATTGGGCTGGATTAGCCCCAGATGGGACAAATTTGGCAAAGATCAATCCAACTGAAAGATAATCCAGGGCCGGGGATTTAGCTCAGTGGTTCCACTGCCTGCCTTTCTAGCACAAGGGCCTAAGTTTGATCCCCGGTACTGGAAAAAAAAAAAAAGAAAGAAAGAAAGAAAAGAAAGATAATCCACAAATTGTTACTTGACCCAAAATTAGCTAAATTTCCTAGAATAGCAAAACCATTTTAGAAGTTACAGGACAAAAAGCAGGAGGCAGAAAGAAGTGGAGGCAAGTACTTGGAGAACGACAAATGATTAACCCCTGAATGATTAAAAGGCGACTCAGAGGATATTCTTGAGGAAAAAAAGGTATCAGAAATCAGAAGAAATGTTTTCTGAGTTTGCTTACACTTTACCTTGGAATTTATTTTGAACAGACTTAACTATTTTTTAAGTAGATATGAAAAATTTAAGCAGAAAAGCCCCTGAATAAAACCCTGACTATCCCTTCGGTATTTGATAGCCAGGCAGTTGTTCTACCTTTACTACTTCACACCATCTTACTCAAAACAGGTTGTGGTGAGAAAGATGACTGAGCTTTTAGAGCAGGGTGGGCAGGAGGAGGATGCTTGGCAACAGAGGTTCAGCCCATCACAGAACACTGATCCCAACTCCATGGAAGGCTGGGGAAAGGAACAAGCAAAACAGGAAGCTTTAGCCTGTGCTGCCCTCTCTCCCAGGTCACCAAGAAGAGAATTTATACTGTCCTCTGATCTCAAACTACAAGGAGAGGTGAAAGAAGCAACTGCTGGGTCTTTGTTTTTCTCTGCTGAACCTTGCTCATCATGTTAGATAACAAGCAAGAATTATAATGAAGTTCAAATTAAACTTAAAAACATTTCCCATGTTTGAAACCAGACAATCAATGATGATTCCTCCAACTTGATATAACCTTTAAATTCAGCCCTTTAATCTTTCAGATTAAGAAATTTAAGCCCAAGATGGAGGATAACTTCCTGGCAACCACTCTAACTGTGCATTCTCAAACAGACTGGTGGCTTATGGCATTTTTTGTTTTGTTTTTATTTTTAAAGTTTTGTCTTCCATGTCAATAGCCTTTTCTAAATAAACATACAAAAAAAAGGTGGATGTGTTAGCACATGCTTATAATCCTTGATACTTGAGAGGCTGAGGTGGGAGGATTCCAAGTTTTAGGCCAACCTGAGAAATTTAGTGAAATCCTGTCTAAAAATAAAGTGTGAGTGTGTGTGGGTGAGTATGTGTGCACTGAGAATGTAGCTCGGTGGTACAGTGCTCTCCTAGCATGCATGAAGCCCTGGGTTCAATCCCCAGTACTGAAAACAAACTAAAAAAGAACTGAAATGTCAGATCTTGCTGAAGACAGCAGTGCTGCCTACAGTTTTCTTTAGGTTCACATCTTTATATATGTGTCTTCAGTCTCTAGGAAGTAGGACAGATTGAAATGTTAAAGGAGAAAATAGGTCACCATAATTCAAACAGATAATTCAGTATCTTTAAAAATGGAAAAAAATTCTCTAACTTGCTAATCTATGAGTTAACAAGCAACCTCCTACCATTTCATGTTACATTACCTACTTCATTATCGCCTGCCTGTTACCCTTTTGATCCCTGTCCTCTTCCTATGAAAAATGAGGAAGACACGTTCTGTGTTATTTCAGAGCTTGCCATACTGTGTGATCTCTGCTGAAGTGAAGTATTTTGGTGTTGGTGTGGGAGCTCAGAATCCCAGCTCCTGGCCTGTCCTGCTCCCCGAACTCCTTTCATATCCCGCGACTGCTTGCTGGGAAGGGTCTGGAGGACCTCTGATGATCACAAGCAGGGGGAGGAGATACCAACTTGAGTTATGAAAAGGTACTGCAGAACACAAAAAGCCCTTTCTCTAAAACAAACAACTCCACACATTGGGAGTTCTGATAAACTGCTTCCTCTCTTTAACACTATTAGAATTTGAAAATTCTACCAGACTAGCTCAACAAAGATGACATATGCGATAAAAATATATAGTCCATGTCTGATCTGACACTTTTAGAGGTGACATCTCTCTGCATTTCTACTGATCAACACTACCCACAAGTCTTCAGTGAATGTAATCACTTCCAATTAAAAGAAAAGCTGCCTCAAGGTTGAAACAATTACCTCTTCCATGAGTAAGCCTTCTTATACCCTAAACAAAAGGTGTTCTGAACTCCTCTGTACAGTCTTAGTTCATTTATTCCTCTACTTCTTTTTTTTTGGTACCAGGGATTGAACTCAGGTCCTTGCGCTTGCAAAGCAGGCCACCGAACCGCTGAGCTAAATCCCCGGCCCTATTCCTCTACTTCTTAAACCTGCTTTATTGATAGTAACAATTTTTTTTTTAAAGTTGAACTTATCTCTTACTTCTCTTGCTGTCTTCCACCACATTCTGTACAAACTATCTGAGACAAGTGGTGAAGCCACAGAGACAATCTCTTGGGGACCTCAGAAATTTAAGCAAGGGCAAGCGCCATGCAGTGCTTGAGCTGAGGCCACTGGCCTAATGCTTCCTAGGAAGTGAGCTGCCTTCTCTCATCTGGAATTGAGTCAGCCAGAGAGAACATTCAAGACACTCCCCCAGGAGCTGAAGTACGGTTGAGCACGTGTAAGGCCCTGGGTCTAATTCCTAGCACCACAATAAAATAAAATTTCCTCAGAATCTTAAAGCAAGGTACAACAAAAAGAGTAGCAAAACCCATTTATTTTCAGTTTTTATTTTGTTTTTGCCTACCATTTACTTTATGACAGAAAATGAAGTGCCACTCTGCAGTTAACCTTGCTCTCCCCACCCCTACACATAATCTAACAAAGGGCAACTGTGCCCTTCATTTGGGAATCACGGAGAAAGGGAATGGGTGGTTAATTATAAGTCTCTGCACTTACGTTAGTCACCTAACAACTAACATCATACCTTCTTAAAATAACCATTTTGTAAACTTGTCATTTTTACTATTTTAAGAGGCCTCATCACTATTTTTAGCCATTATCTTATTTTATAATTTTCAGGGAGAGGGTATGGGAAATACTACTAGTGTGCATATTCAAGCCACTTTTTAGTATCTACAATGGATATATATATTTTTACAATGGATAGTTTTATACCCACGTCCTCCCCCAAATTATGTAAGGCAGATTATTTCATCTCATTATAAAATGATACTGAAGTGATATACTCGTAGCCTTTCTTCTAAAAAATGATGCATTTAATTTATAGTTTTTATACTGAAGTACTTGCGTTCAGGTTATTTCACAGTACTCTATTTATGAATAGATGGTGTGTTTATTAATCAAACAGTGTTGAGGGGTTGGGTAAAGCTGAGTGGTAGAGCACTGGCCTAGTATAAGCCCTGGGTTCCATCCCTAAGTGCACACACGTGTGTGCACACACACATACAGTCATGACTGAAAAATCACACATCATTACAAAAGCTTTCAGAATGTTTATCTTGTTTTTCTTTAGAGTCAGAAGATACATGCAGACATAGAAAGATTTCCCAATAACAAATATACCAAGGTGGTGTTTAAAAATTTCCCAACAATATTTATGTAAAATGGAAAATATCATTTGAATAACATAGAAAATAAATCAGATACTGAACAAGAAACTAAAAACATTATTATTTAAGACTTTAAAACAAAATGCATTTGACTAGTCTATTTATTTTTCCTTGAAAACTTAAAGGATTGACTTTGAACCAACAAGATACTAAATTTAATGAAAGAGAAAACAAAATTCAAGGAATAGAGAAAAGTAGTAAAATAGGGAGGGAAAGCAACATGAGCAAGCCTCTCAAGATACAACAGTTTGAGCATATATTTTTCATGACCTGAATCAAGCTATTTTTCCTTGAACAAAAATGTTAATTTTGGTAAGGAAGCATTCTTTAGACTAAAAGTAAGCAGCAGACAATTACCAGAATCATTATTGGGTATAATGTGGCTCAATGTCTTTATTTTAAATTCACTTATTAAAATGAGAATCTCTATGGGAAACAGGAACAAATAAAAGTGAAGCTCAGCATGCAGGATTTTATTAAGAAAGGTGCTAATTAAATAGCTAATAATACAATGTAATTAAACATTTTATGCTTCTTAACAGGCATGGCACTCTCACTAATACTTCATTTCAAAGGCTCTACACTGCAATTCTGAGTGACATCAGCAGGTAAAAATTAGATTCAGAATGCCTTAAAAAAATTCTTGCTTATTTTCCTCTTACATAACACTTGAAAATACAACGTACAAAAACCAGTAACACTAAGGTGGCAAAAATCTAGGGGCAGATTTTTATTTTCTCACTGACCAAGCCAGGCTAGCATTTAGAGCAGGCTGACATTTGGCCTTGGGTCTAAAAACAGAACAGCAAAGCATGTGATGCTTCCATTATCTCCTACGAACTAAGACATTACTTTTAATTTGAATGGAGGTCAAAAATCAAATTCACTTCAATTAACATAGTACAATGATTTTCTAAATGTTAAGGCTTGGGATTTATTGCTTAAAAACAAGGTTTATAGCATGAGTGTCAAGAAGAAATACAACGCTATTAGAATAGTAAAGCAATGAGATTGTGCTACTATCTTCATAAATCTGTGGCTGTGAAAATCTGCCACTGCCCTGTTCTGAAGTCTTTAATACATGACTACATTGTGGTCACCAGCTGGAGTCACAACAGTTTCCTATGCCTCAAGCTCCACTCTAGCCACAGAGAGACAAAGAGATACAACTGGACAGAGACAGTACTATTTCACAAAAGCAGACTTGAACTAAACCCACAGACAGCAAATGTTTCAGCGTTCACTGTACCTCTTGAGGAAGCTCCAGTTTGGAGCGGTCAGTGCCATCTTTTGACTGGAGGCCCATCAGATAAGGGACAGGAGCATCAAGAAAGTGCAGCAGGGAGGCAGGGAGGATGGGCACATATACATGCTGCCACTGGAACGGGAACAAGAGGGCAGTGACGCCTTCCGCCACCGTCATCAGGCGCTGACAATCTGCACAGGACAAGAAGAGATGAAAGGGAGAAGCCAGGTAAAACCAACGGCTGCAGTAGGCTGCAACATGCCAAAAATATTTCTGTTACACTAAGTAAAATGTTTACAGTCATGCAGAAAATAGGTCAGTTCTATGCCATCAGGATGAGTTAAGTGGTTTCCCTTGAATGGTTTTAAAGGAGTGGGCAGATGGAAACATCACACTTTTCACTTCTCAAAATAACTGGCATATGCATTTACATTCTCTTAAACACAGAAGAATCAAGAACTAATACAACTGCTCTTGGCATGTATCCCAAAATGTATCAAAAATGTGCAAGAGACAGTGTATTGCTCGTAATAAATTGTTTATTTTTGGTAAAACTTCCAATTCAGAGGCTGTGTATGTGAGGTTATGGCTACAGCCTTTAGTAGGCTGACTGTACTTACTCTAGCCCTCATTTTGTGGGTACATAAAATCAAACCGATATATGCAATGGTAGTCACACTTCTTATATCTAACCCTAACTACAGAGCCATTACATCTAGGGATAAAATGAGTTGCCAGATAATTAAAGTTTGATTTTTTTGTTGTATTTTTGCTTACATAAGCTAATTTATCAAAACTAAAAGCTATCTACAATAATTCTAACACTTGGAAGTCTGAGGGAGGAGAATTGCAAATTAGAGCCCAACCAGGGCAACTTAGACCCTAAATAAATAAACAAATAAATACATAAATAAAAGACCTTAAATTTTAAAAGGGCACGTAGTTCAGGGTGAAGGCCCTAGGTTCAATCCCCTTTACTGCAAAAGGAAAAAAAATTGTAATATTAAAGTGCCCTCTTGTACCCCTCAGTATTGCTTACATATGTCCATGGCCCCAGGGACACAGACATGTTCTAGAGTTCAGGTTTTTTTCTTAATTTAGAAAGGTAATAGTATTATACATAGACCACATATGTGAATTATTTAAGGCAGAACCCTGTAACCAGATGTTAATATTTTCAGAGCAAATTATACAAGAGTTCCAGGTTAGCATAAAAATCAAGGAATATAAATAAGGCCTCTTTGGTTCAATCTGGTTTTGCTGATAGATTAGTTACAGAATGTTTGAGTTTCAGAATTTTTTTGGATTTGAGAACTGAGATAAGGGATTGTGGATTTGTAACAATCTCACAGAATGCACTGTGCACCCTGTAAGCCAAGGGAAGGAAGAGTTTGGGGGGGTTTTGTTTTAAACAGTAGTTGATGTGAACCAGATACTACTTGGTTCACATAAACTCAAAGAATACTCGAGGAAGCATAAGCAGGATGTTTTTCATTTAAACATTTTTCTTCTATCATTTTATAATTTTTTTCTTTCATTTTCTGAGATAGGGTCTCACTCTGTAGTCCAGGCTGGCTTCAAAATTGAAATCATCCTCCTTCAGCTTCCTGAGTGGTAGGATTAAATTTTATAATTTTTCAATGACTATTTTTAATAGTCCACAATGGGGTTTGGTAATGAAGCATCAAGAACTCCAAGTGCTTACAATTTTCCTTTCTTTCATTATTAAGACTAATATCTGGGCTGGGGATTTAGTTCAGTGGCACCGTGCCTTGCCTTGCAAGCACAAGGTCCTGAGTTCAACCCCCAAACCCAGGGGAGGAAAAAAAGAGATCAAAATATTATGTGAAAATCTCTTCACATGAATTCTTCTAAAACAAACAAGAGGCAGCCTGAAGGGTAGGGGTCAGTTCTGTAAACACAAAGAGCTGACCCAACTACCTGGCATGGACAGATGGACGGATGGATGGACAGAGGGACACACATGCACTCATGCATGGATGCACATGTGCTCGTCTGAGGCCCACAGAAGAGGCTGGGCTGAGATGGCGGGTGCTCCGACAGCTGTTCAGAGGAGATCAGTGTTGCTGTCACTTATTGTGCTATCGGTGAGGTGGAGGTGAGGTGTGCAGTGTAGGGAATGAGGGTCTTCTCTACAGGGCTGGGAGTGGGGAGGGAAAGCTGGCCAGAAACGCTGATGAAGGCGTGGAGATGCTCCAGGCAGAACAGACTGCAGCTCACCCTGTGTAGGTCCTGTCTCTTCCTGCTCACCAAGCATACAACTAGGCTGACTATATAGTTCACTGGAGCTACTAAATGTATTTTCCTCCTCTTACATTCAACAGAGTTCTTAAAAACACACAAAAAATCAGGAGTAGGAAGACCGGCCAGTAATCAATTAAAAAGATCAAATCTAAAAAAATATCCTTGGATTCTATTCTGTAGGCATCTATTCCAAACAAGGGTTGGGATTTTTTGATTTTTATATTCTCACTACTTAGTACAATATCTGTCATATAATAGAAGCTAGAATTATTTTTTTAAAAAAATAAATTAGATAAGAATACATCATTTTGCTGGTACCCATGATTTAAGTAGGCTTGCTTAGATTTTTCTCCATGTGAGATTAAAGAACCCCTAATGTTTCTTGAAGAGAAAATGGTACTACTTAAGACAAGAAACTGTTTACTAAAAATAACATTTTGTGGGATATTCACAAATTTTTTCAGCACGGGCAAGGCCAGGCTCATCACAAGGGAAATCCAACCATCTGTTCACCAAGCCCTGGCTGCTGCTCATCATACAGAAGTGTCACCAATGGACTCACTCAGCTGAGAGGAGCAGATCTCCTAGGGATCAGAGCTCTGTTTAAGGCCAAATCACATCTTAACATTTCACCTCGTCTATATTAAAAATGTAAAAAATGTAAACAACTGAATACAATAAGGCATCCTAAAGCCCTGCAAAGTGAGAAAGGGCTCTCTAAGGCATTGTTCTCAGCTTTCTGCAAGTGACCAGAGAGCGCAAACACTCCGTGTCACTCCACCAGGAAGATATATTTCACCTGTTGGAGAACTGAGCCTTTAAAGTCAGAAGGGAAAAACATATTCACTTCTTTTATATATTTCATGATTCAACCATATTCAAAATATGCAGTATGTCCTGTAGAGGCGAACTACTACAAAAACAACTTCACTGCTCTCATCTATATTTGCTAACTTAGAAAGTACTATTAGTTACCATATTGTTACTCTGCTATTATAGTTACTCTTTAGTTACTATGTGGTTACTATTAACTCTTTAAGGAGTTTTACTGTCACAAAAATAATTACATTTATAAACTATTACCAGATATTTTTTGGAAGGTACTGCTATACTTAGATTTTTGCAACAATCACTTAAAAATTACTTTAAAAAAAATCAATGTTCTAACTCAGCTAGCTTTTTTTTTTTTTTTAAACCAGGGATCACACTCACGACCTTGTGCTTGCAAGGCAGGTAGTGACTAAATCCCTGGACCACTCAGCTAGCTTCTTTAAACACACATTCACTAAAACAGAAATCTAGATTTAAAAAAAAAACACTTTTTTACAGGCATTAAAGGAACTACACTTTGTCCTTTAATAATTTAAATCTAGAGTATATTCTTTCTGCACTTTTTTACTCACCTCTAACACTTTAGAATGCCTTAGGATTTTTTTTTAAGAGAAAGGAGGAATGAAAATATTTATTTGGTTAGGAAAAATTACTAATTATTTCTTTTTTCAATGCTCTTCAGGCAAATCCCCCAGGAGCACACCTTATTTGAAGCTGGATGTGTTACTCACTGCATGGGGAGCGCATAGCTGAGGCACTCATAGATATCCTAGTGAAGAAGAATCTGTTACAGCAGTTGGGTGTTCCTTGGATAATTCTGAGAAGAGTCTGAGGAAATGAAGACTTGCTTTGGATTGGGATCTGTCAGAAATTAAGGTAATTTTGTGACTGTTTATCTCAAATCTGACCTGCAGGGTGGGAAAGGTTAAAGGAGTATAATGCTGTAACTGAGGCTGGGGGTGTAGTTTAGTGGTAGAGCACCTGCTACTTCATGTGAGGCCCTTGGTTTGAACCTTTTATATTCTCTCTCTCAATTATAAACCAGGTGAGGATGAAAAACTCCAGGGCATGGCAGCCAGTTACTCACTGACTGCCTTTTAGGTCCTTTTAGGTCAGTGAATGCTCCAGGCTAACCAGATGTTCTCTAGGTAGACTATACTGAGCACAAGGTTATAGCTCTGCCAGTGAAGGGCAAAGGAGAAACACTGCTGCTAAACAGGCTTCTCTTCCCGACCCCAGGCAACATGCTGTATTTGCTCGTTCTTATTACGCTGAATGGCTGGGGGTACCTGCTTGGATGCCCACAGAAATGGTACCCAACAACTTCTGGCTGCTTAATAGCCTCAGCTCCTATATGCCTTGGAGGCTGGGTCTTTTTGAATATTGGGGATCAAACTTGCACTTTTGAGGCAGGTGGCAGCACCACTCAGCTAAATCTCTGGCCCAACACAATTTTAAATATTGTAATTATTGAGCAAAAACAAGACCATTCTTGGGCTAGGGATTTAGCTGAGTGGTGTTGCCACCTGCCTCTCAGTGCAAGGTCCTGAGTTTGATCCCTGGTACCAAAAAAAAAAAAAAAAAAAAAAAAAAAAAAAAAGAAAGAAAAAAAAGACCATTCTTTTTAACTAAATTAAGACATTTCCTTCTTTCAGCATTTTAAAAATTAAAATACTTTAAGGACTATTTCCACAGATGCTCAAGTCATTGCAGTATCTAAAACAAACCTCTGCGTGGCACATGAGGCTTTCCATGACCTGTTCTTGCCCGGCTTTTCTCTCACCATCACCCTGGAGCACTTGAACGTCTGCTCACAGTTCACTCATGAGCATGCTGCTGTGTCTTTCCAGTCCCTGTAACCCTCTGCTCAGGATGTCCTTTCACCTTGCACTGTCTGGTTGAGTTCCTTATTTTCCAAATGTTCCTTTGGAAAGCCTCCCTTAAACACTTATCATCACTCCAAAAAGACCTTTCTATGGGCTTCCCTAGTTTCCTATCCTTATTTCCATCAGAAAGAAATTATTCATCCCATTAGAAGTATTACAATTCTATTATAATTATCTATGTGCCCATCTGCCCTAATTTACCTTCTCCT